GAGGGTCAACTTATTTTCCAAAGCACCAAAGGGCAGGAGAAGAAACAATGGATGGAAACTAATCCAGGAGAGAAACAACCTGGGATGAAGGAGAAACTTCCTAACAGTAAGGACAATTAACCAGTGGAACAGTTTGCCGTTAGAAGTTGTGGGTGCTTCATCGTTGGAGGTTTTTAAGAGACTTGGACAGTCACTTGTCTGAAATGGTATAGGGTTTCCTGCTTGAGCAATGGGATTGACTAGATAGAAGATCTCCATGCTCCTTCCAGCTCTATTCTGATTGAAAACCCAGGGGGGTTAAAAAAAAAAACGTTCTAGTTGAAGAGGGGAGAGGAGAACCAACCATGTCAGTTTTCCTTTTGGTGCTCATGTCAGATTGTACCCAACCTTCTTGGAATAAGTAAGATCTCTCTGTGGGAGCCATTTTGGAAAACTGTGACATAATCTAGAAAACCCAAACGGGCCCACTTTCTCTCAATATTTGCTTGCTTCTGGTTCATGAATCCTAGTTAATATTTCACTCCTGGTTGAAGAATAGCAATAGCAATAGCACTTAGACTTATATACCACTTTACAGTGCTTTACAGCCCTCTCTAAGCGGTTTACATGTTGCCCACAACAATCTGGGACCTCATTTTACCGACCTCAGAAGGATGGAAGGCTGAGTCAACAAAGCAAAATGATAGAGGTTTGCAATACAATATTCCCACTTCTGATGCTGCAAAAATGTGACAAAAGGGAAACCAATCATTTAAAAGCTTTTCTCTTTTAATGTTGAATAAACTTCAACAAGAGTGAAAGTTGACATAAAGGACTGCCAATCCAGAATGCCTGAGTTAGTTATTTCTGTATCTGGCTTCTCCTAAGAAACGAAAACCTCTACTGTGGGTGGGGGTAGGGAGTTGCTAATTTTTAAGAACTAATTTTTGTCTTGCTGCAAGTTTTAATTTAACAGTAGGGCCACGAATGCAGAAAATTAACACATCTTTGGAAAGTGAGAGAAAATTGCTGCATGAGGGACATCTGTGCTTGCCATTAAAATATACATTCCCAGGGGAGCAGAAAACATTTTCCGAGGGTGAAACAAAGAGAATTATAAATTCTCTTTGACTTCATGGCTGTCTGAATTACCTGGAACTACTTTAATTCTACTACTTTATTTTTCCATTTTTCTCATTTTCTTTTGTTCACCGACCCCCACCCCATTCCCATACACACACACACACACAAACACATGCTACCTCTTTTCTTTTGCTACTTGTGATTCTGTTCCTTTGGGACAAGGGTTATTTGTATAGTACTTTTACTCACTTGCAAGCCTCTGAGACAACCAAGCTGTAAATCTCAGTGATTACATATTTCCATATGGAGCACTTGGATTCAAGATACATAAACAGAATAATTTTCTCCCTGTTGCAGACAGATTCTTGAGGGGGTCTCTGAACAAAATTCAATGTGTACATCCTTTCTTTTCTTTTCTTTTTTTTTCATGGGCCTCACAAAAAAGACAGAAGAAAGAAACTAGGAATAGACCCGAGTTGGAGAATGGGACCCAACCAGCTTCTTTGCACTGAAACGTGTCTCTCCATACACACACACGCACACACATGCATGTATTTGCAGGCCCTCGACAGTTACAAGCACAGATGGAGGCTGAGCTGTAAGGGACTGGAACAGATTTCCCAGCTGTTGCTAAATGCTCTTTTCCTTAGGAAGTGCTAGCCCAAACAGCACCAAGATATACACATGGCACATAAAGACTTCCCTTTCTTTGTGTCAGATCTTTTGCATAAGGAAGGTATCCCTTCCATTTTAAGCTTCTGGAGCTTCACATTTAATACACAGCACTGCATAAAGCATATCAAGATATCGGCTGTTGACATGGAAGCAAACTCTTCATTAATATAAAGATGGATTGCTCAGAAGACCCTTCACCCCTGCTAATTATCTTACAAATATTCCATCCTGTTCTTCACAGAATAGCCTTTTCTCTGGCTAGTCTCAAAGCCCTGCCCTCCCAGTAGTAGAAAAGAGACAGAACATGGGCTTAGAAGATTGTCGCTGCCCCTGTCCAAAGCAGACAATTGAACCAGTCTTCCATGCACTATTGGGATACCTCTTCTACAAAACGAAAGCTTTGACATATTAATGCTTCGGCTAGTTAACCATCTGCATGGGTCAAGTGAGAATTTCACAACAGTCGACTGAAATTTCAAGAAGGGTAGCCAAGTTTTGCTCAACTGAAATCACCGTAAGGGGGCTTGTAGTCTGGCTTTGTCTCATTAATAAGTGATTACGTCTGCTCCTGGGTATACTAGCTTGAGGTTTTTTTTAGTATTTAATGTCAGTTGATTAATTTTAATTGTATTATTCTTTTTTTTTAATTTGCTCTTTTCCGTTTCTTTTGTGGTTAAATGAATTAGTTCTTCTGATTATATGGATCTTTGACCTAAAGAGATCTTAGTGATGATTACATAGGGAACTCCATGAAAAAAAAGTGGCTTATTATTACTACCTTTTTCCTACAAATCAGATCCATAATGGCACACACACACGCGCGCACACACACACACAGTGTCAAAGTGGATGATTTTTTTTATAAAACCATGTGCTTGCATAAATCATGAGGTACCTTCCAGAGTTGTGGTAGAAAGTGATTGGGGGGGGTTTCTCATTAACTTTAACCAAATTTTAAGGCCTAATGGTATCTGAACGGCCTTTTTGATGGATTCAGAAAGCAGGCAGGACCAAACAAATATTAAATTACATTTAATGTAAAAGCTATTTAAATTAAGTTAACTGCATTTGACATTGTTAATTCTCTATATTCTATAGTTTTTACTTTGGACCAGTTATTCTCTCTCAGCCCAACCTACTTCACAGGAAAGAAAGGAGGAAGTGCTATGTATGTTGCCTTGAGCTCCTGACAGACAGCATATAAATCTAATCTTTCAATAAATCAATCATTTTCTCCTCTAAACACATGTAAAGTTTATATTAGGTATGTAGCAATGTAGGCATTTTCCCTACATGAAATATTGATTTATTTTTAACATCAATACTTCAAACATCTCTCAAGTAGGTCAGTTATTGCCAAGACAATGTTATAACCATCACTTAGTAAAAATAGAACAGCTTGAAAACTATTACTTTTTCTTCAAATTCTCAGAGAGCAAAATCATCCATCTCTTGTTCTGTGTTCAGTAACTTGAGCAGGTCCCGCGCTGAACAGAGGGTTGGGCTGCCAGAGGTCCTTTCTATAAACTTGGTGCAGGGAATGATACCATAATCCTGGGAGAAAGGGCCTTCCAAAGCCCTATGTGCAGACATAAAGGCTAAAATTTGATGCCAGTCACTCTTGCAACACATTGATTCTACCCTGATTCAGAATACAGCTAAGGGAAGGGTCACCTATATTCATGTTGATATGCAGTACATACAAGCATCCTTAACTGATTCTGGACCACCCATTATAGACAGCCACAGGGATGTCCCAAATTTATGTTTGGCTCATCATAGGTCTAGTGATTAAGGCACCAGGCAAGAAACCAGGAGACGGTGAATTCTAGTCCATGAAAGCAACCTGTGTGGACCAGTCACACTCTCTCAGCCCAACCCACCTCACAGGATTATTGTTGTGGGGAAAACAGGAGTAGGAAGGAATATTAGGTATGTTCAGGAAAAACACAGGGAAGGCAACAGATACAAGTCTATCTATTGATCTCCACCCCCCCCCAAAAAAAATCCACCAAATTTAAATATTTCTGCACTGAAATCTGTATTGAAATAATACAATGCACTGAGATTTATAACATTACAATAAAAGGGGAAAGAAACACCACCAAACCTGAATGTTAAAATGTGCGCTGAAATAATACAACGGGTCAAGATTTACTCCGTAACATTCCAATAAAAGAGGGGACCACGCCAAATTTAAATATTACTGCATCGAAACCTTCATTAAAGTAATACAATGGATCAACCTTTAAACATTACAATCTTTAAACATTACAATAAAAAAAAAACCCCTAAACTTAAAATATTCTTGCACTGAAATCTGCACTGAAATATCCACTGGCTCAAGAGTTATAATGTTACAGTAAGATTGGGGGAGTGAGGGAAGAACCATAGATAGAGAAAGAGATGATACATACATATATACACATATATACACACACGTGGGTGGGTGTTTGGGATATGTGTGTGTGTGTGTGTGTGTGTGTGTGTGTGTGTGTGTGTCTTTTTCTTTTTCGTAGGCTTTTATGTGCATATTCTTTCTAGCCAGGTTTTACCTATGTAAGCTAAGATGTTCTACAGCCCTGGTTCTGTGAAATCTCATTCACATATATACATACATACATACACACACACACACACACACACACACACACACACACACACACACACATATAGATATATAGATATATATATTATATATCCCAAACTTATAGATGATAGTTATAGTTAGTTAGTTAGTTAGTTAGTTAGTTAGTTAGTTAGTTAGTTAGTTAGATAGATAGATAGATAGATAGATAGATAGATAGATAGATAGATAGATAGATAGACAGACAGACAGACAGACAGACAGACAGATTTCATATATATTTCATATGTATTTCATATGTATATGAAATATATATGTGTGTGTGTGTGTGTGTGTGTGTGTGTATACAAACACTCCTGCGCTGAAATCTGCACTTTTAGTAACAAGATTTGGATCGAGATTTATAACATTCCAATAAAAAGGGGGACCCAAACGGAAAGAAGGGCCCGGCCTTCTCCCGAGCCTCCGCGAACAATAGCGGGGGCAGCCACCTCCAAAGCGAGAGAAACGGGGAAACGAGCCCGTTCCGCTTGGCCGCTCGGGCCCTTCGCGTAGCTCGCCTGCCCCGCAGAGGCCCGGGCCTGGCATCCCTCAGGCCGGCCTCCCCAGCGCCTCCTCAGGCGGCAGGGGGCGGCGTCGGGCCGGGCAGGCGGCTTCTTTCCCCGTCCCTCCCCTTCCCCACCTCCCTGCGCTTCGGAACATGGCGGCGGCGGCGATAACGGCGGCGAGGGACTGAACCAGCCCGGCGCTCGGCCGCAGGTGAGCCCGCGGGCGGGGAGGCCGCCGCGTGGGGAAACACGAGCTCATGGAGGCGGAGGCGGCCTGGCCGCCGGGTACGGGACGCCTCCGCCCCGCGTAGGCCCAGCCCTCCTGGGGCAGCCCGGGCCATCCTGGCTGAGTGACAGCGGCCGGCCCGTTCTCTCTTCGGCGGGCTTGGTTGGCTCCTTCTCCCCGGCCGCCGCGGATGGGCCTGCGGGGTGGGCGCTTCCCTCGCTTGAGTGATGCCTGGGGTGTGGTGTGTGTGGGTGCTGTGAGAGGGGATGATGAGGGGGTCCCTGCCTGGGGGGGGCAGCCCCTCGCTTCCTCGGACGGGGGGTCTGCTCTGGCTCCTTCGCCTCGTCTTATGGGGGGGAAGCCGAGCCTTTCTTCCTCGCCTGGCCTTCTGTGGGGCATCCTGAGGCACCATGGCCTCCTTTCCTGAGGGGGGGGAAGGGGGGAGGGGAAGGTCCCCCCAAGAGAGACCCCCCCCACAGACCCCAGGGAGGATCTGAAGGGGCAGCCCCATCTGGAGGGGCGCTCCTTTGGGTAAGGAGGCCCCACCAAATGGAGGCACGTGTGAAGGGGCTGTCCTGGGATGCAATTTGGGGGGGGGATGATTTAGGGGTCCTGGAAAGGAGCCTGATGGGGGCGGTGGGTGAGGGGGTGGAAAGGGGGAAGCTGTGGGCCAGGGTTGCTAAATGAAGGGGAAAGGGAAGCAGGAAAGGGGGGGTGACATGAAAGCAGGACAAGGGGGAGTTGTTTTTCATGGTGGGCTTTCTGGAGTCACTTTTCTTTCCTGCTGCAGAAATCAGGAGTTAGGATAAAATTTGTCTCTTCCTAATAGATTTCTTGAATCCTTTTTTTTTTTTTTTGCCCTCCCCCCCTCTCCTGATTTGTTCCTCTGTGATTAGGATTCCCCTCTGGTTCCTCTCTTATCCTCTACCTGGCTCTGGGATATTCAGGGATTCATCAGAAACCTTCCCTAAGTGTTTGATGTTTGTTTCCCCCGCCCCACCAAAAAGCAATTTGGGATAGTCAGATGCATGCTTTGGGCTTTCTTTCTTGTGATTAAAATGATGGACTGGGGTTTACTGAGGAAAGCGGGCTTCAGAGTACAAAGGCATCCTAAGAATAAATAGAGGAAATATGATTTTAACTTGGTTCTTTTTTTTAAAAAAAAAAAATCCAACTTTATTATTAAGTGAATTATCTCCCTCTTGGGAAGCATTTGGCAAGTGTAAGCCACCCAGAATTGTCTGGAGTGGGCAGCCATAATAAATGTAATAATACTAATACAGTAACAATTCTAGTTACTGGAAAAAAATAGGTCTCTCTCTCTCACACACAAACACACACACACACACACAAACACACACACACAAACACACACACACACTTCTGCAGATTTAACTTGAATTGGCCACTTCACAAACCAGATAATCCATTTTGTGGCTTTGCATAATATTTTCAACTGTCAACTAACCCAATGGTCTGGGTTAACAAAACACACTAATCTGCAGAAAACTAATCAGCATTACAGGCAGCCAAGCTTAGCATGCTGTATGAATGCAGGCGCTAGTTTGGAACAGAATTGTTTAAATGTGCTGTATGAACTCAGCCATTTTGTTTACAGATGTATGTGCATATATTTCGGATTGTTACAGTTTTGATGCCCGTATCACGGTTACTTTTTGAAATTTAAACTCTGGGTTTTTTTTTTTTTCCTGATGCTTAATTTTAAATGTGGCTTACATGTTTGAACTTCAGCCAAAAATATCACTGATGGATGGCAGTATTTTGTTTTAGAAATAGAGTGATGTGCAAAATAAAGTTTCTACATTCATCCACATAGAAAGGGACTTACTTTTCAAAAGCTATTTTAAGTCCGGGGTATGTCTATGGTAAAGAGCTCTATTAACAGTGGTCTGTGGTATATTCCCTTGATAGGCTAGATTTAGTAGTCCCTTTGATTTTTAAAACTTGCTTGGCCTTTAATTTGCTCTGTCTTGATGGTTATTCATTCAACTGTAAATTTGTCTTACCTGTCAGGAACAGGGTACATGTAATTTCTCAACGAAAGGATTGGTGTTGGCTAAACATAAATATTAAAAGAGGCCTAAAGGGGTAGCTATTCTTCCTGAGACAATTCCATATTACTGAAATGAAGGCCATACAATTGGATGGACAATCATCCATTTTGTAGTTCAGATGTTTGAAGCTGAAATGCTATTGCATGACTGAACCTTTTTCTGATTTAGTGATGCACAGTGAATATATAGTTAAAGTGCCAAAAATGTAAAGGATATAATGAGATTTTGATCTCAATTGTTTTGCCATTTTGCATAAAGAAGAGATCCTCTTTTTCCTTGCCTGGCCATTTTTTTCCTCAAAATCTTCCCTCAGCTTTTTCCACTCACTCTAAATAGAATTTTTTTAAAATTATGAATTGTTTGGAGGTACCCGATGCAGCTGCCTTGCTGAAGATAAGGAGGTTTTAATCTGGTTGGCAAATGGATGGGAGATTATCTGGAAACCTTATGCAGGTTGCCTTAAATTCCATAAGGAGAGATAAATATTTTTTTTAAAATGTGGAACTCCGTCTATCATGCTGTGAAAGAAGAAAATGAACAATTTGTTTTCCAGACCACTAAGCACAGTTCAAAATGAAATTGCTTTATAAGAAAGGGCAGTTTAAACAAGACAATGGAAAACCTATCTTTTCATCAAGAAAAGCTGTGATTTTCAGTTGTGGTTTATTTTTCAGAAGAAAAAGCAAATCTTGAACAAGTTACAGATTCTCAGATGGAAGACTTGCCTTCTGAGCCCAAATATTGGAAGGTAGCTGTGGTTACATTCGCTGAAATAAAACTATCTAAAGCCCTTGCTATTAAAATGCCTCTTGTGTTTTATATAATTTAATTTCACGTTGGAAAGAGATATAAAAGTTGATCCCCGGATTAAATGAAACAATGCTGAGGTATCTGCTTCTAGCATTCAGTTTAGACTGAGGTGATTCTGTAGATTAGTGTCAGTTCTGATTGTTTTGTTCTTAAAGTTAAGCTCACAAAATAGTTTACTTGTCCCTGTACAATAAAACCAAAAGTAATAACTCTCTTTAATATAAGGCTGTGAGTGCTCAAACTCAAATTAACTTGGAATGGGTTTTGTGGGGAGTTTAAATCTGAAATAGACTATGAGGGGAACATTGCAGTGTTGCAAAATTGTCACCTGTGTATACCATTCTCCAGAGGCTTTGGGACTACACTTCCGTGGCAGTCTGGCCAGTGGTTAAATTACAGGAATTGTATTTCAAAAAATCTTGAAGCCAATAGATTGTCCATCCTTAATGTACATATTTATGCATGCTGCAGAGACTTACTAGGGAGAACCTTTCCTTTCTTTTTCATAATATAAGAACTACTAGGTAAAGCAGGGGTGAAATGCTATCAGATCGGACCGGTTCGCCCGAACTGGTAGTAATAAAAGCTACCGGTTCAGGCGAACCAGTAGTAAAAAAGTGCTACTGGTTCAGGCGAACCAGTAGTAAAAAAATGCTACTGGTTCAGGCGAACCAGTAGTAAAAAAAATGCTACCGGTTCAGGTGAACCGGTATTTCCGATGATCAGCTGTGCCACGCAATTTATATTCACTAGAAAGCAGGAAATCCTGCTTTCTAGCGAATCTAAATCACGCAGCACAGCTGTCTCTCCCCTCGCTGTTCTACTTACCTTAGAAAAGGCTTCTTAATCCTCTTTTTTCAGCACTGTGTGGTATCACCTGCGATGCGCATGCATGCTAAGCACGTGTTTGGGACACACTGCGCATGCATGTGTGCAAAGTGTGCATTTGGCACACACTGTGCATGCGCGTGCAAAGCGAACCAGTAGCAGACTTCAGAGCATTTCACCCCTGAGGTAAAGGTAAAGGTTCCGCTCGCACATATGTGCTAGTCGTTCCCGACTCTAGGGGACAGTGCTCATCTCTGTTTCAAAGCCAAAGAGCCAGCGCTGTCCAAAGACGTCTCCGTGGTCATGTGGCCGGCAGGACTAAATGCCAAAGGTGCATGGAATGCTATTACCTTCCCATCAAAGGTGGTCCCTATTTTTCTACTTGCATTTTTTATGTGCTTTCGAACTGGGACAAGTAACGGGAGCTCACCCCATTATGTGGCACTAGGGATTCGAAACGCTGAGTTGCCGACCTTTCGATCGACATGCTCAGCAACTTAGCCACTGAGCCACCAAGTAAACTGGGCAGTTTTAGGGCAGGCAAAACTATCTTTTTGTGCAATGCATTATTCAGTAAATTAAGTCATGGCCAATGAGACTTGTTTCTGAAAAGAGAAACTCATAGAGGGGGGGATTGCCTTTGGTTGTTGGCTATAATCATTAATGGGTTCTGCACTTGCTGGTGAGGAAAACAGCAGAGGAGATTTGGACTGTCTCCTACGCAGAAAAGACGGCTGGATTAGATCCGCCAGAAGTCTGGCATTCCTTCCCCATCTCCTGCTTTATGTTCTTGCATTCATGAACAGTTGAAACATTATTTGAATGACCCCTAAGAATCCTACCTTGATTAAGTGGCACTTAAAGGTGCTCAGTCTAAGCCAAGTTAGATGTAACATTTGTCACATAGCTTTAAATAATGTGTGATTGATGTTTTTTTAAAAAAATAACCTATAGCTGTTGCATTGGGAAATAGGCTGGGGTGAGAATTAAATTCTTTGTGGAAAAGAATGATTTCCAAACTACTCACAATAAGAGAAAAGACAGAGGGGTGTGTGTGTGTGTGTGTGTGTGTGTGTGTGTGTGTGTGTGTGTGTGTGTGTGTGTGTAGATTACATGTAAGCCATGAGTTAGCTCCCAAGATATTTAAGCATCTCACTTTAATATATAGTAGATGATTTTGTGCCTTCCAGTGGCTTTACTGATAGTCTGCAGAGCCAGAGGGAAGACTCAATGTTGTAAACCCAGTATTTATACCATAGATAGGAAAGATACATGCTGGGCATTACAAGACAAGATAGAAAGACCTGCACATGGATTAGAGAACAAACAAAAATATATACGATATCATCAAGAGAGTAAAAGAATTGAAATGGAAATGGGCTGGTCACATAGCAAGAAGAACTGACGGCAGGTGGACCAAGGCAGTCAAAGAATGGATCCCACCTGATAAAAAGCATCCACGAAGGAGACCCAAAGCAAGATGGATCGACAACATCAGCAAGTATTGTGGGCCCAATTGGCAAAGGAAATTCAAAGACCATATTGGTTGGAAACATGTAGAAGAGGCCTTCATCCTGCAGTGGATAGACAATAGTTAAAATGATGATCATGATCATGATATAGGGTTAAGTACCCAGGGCTTCCAAAGATGTTTTTTTATCCAGAAAGCAAAGTGAAAAGGAAAATAAACTGAATTGCTAAAAGTGAGACTTAACACTTTCCATTAATTGTGAATTATCTTTCCCTTTTGTCTCCATGTCACAGGAAGTAGGCGTGGCTTCCTCTCCTAAAACTGGCCATTTGCAATGTTGCTGAAGGCTGCCTATCTGGTTAGTATATATTTTTGATGGATTTTCCTGAGATGCTTCAGATGTTGCAAAATCCTTCTGCTTTCTGTCAAATTTAGAGATGAAATATCTTGGGAGGTCTATCACTTTAAAGTCTTGTGACCAAACACTGATTATTCTACAAAGACAACCTAACTGATAAATCAATTAAGATTATTTTGTGATTTGCATTTTTTAAATTGGCAAAGCTATCTCTTTTATTATTATCACCCTACCTTTTTTTCCACATACAACTCAAGGTGGCAGACTCCTTCCTCCTATTTTCCCCACAACAACAATTCTGTGCAGTGGGTTTATTTTGAGAGAGAATGACTGGCCACCCAGCTGATTTTCATACTTAAAGCAGGATTAGAACTCACAGTTTCTAGTCTTGATATCTTAACCACAAAACCAAACTGGCTCTCTTGAAACCAGGCAGTTACATTAAATATGTCTTAATGTCAATTTCTATTTATTTATTTATTTAGAAAATATAATTGCCAGTCTTTCCCTGAACCTCAGGGCAGCTTACAAGGAACAGTGAAAAGTTTATTAACACACTAACAAAATGTAACAAATGTAAAACAGTGAAAAGTTTATTAACACACTAACAAAATGTAACAAATGTAAAACACAAGCTAAAACAGTGTTTCATAAATACATTTCATAGCTGTATTGTTATTTGATTGAGGCCCACTTTAAAGTGCTGAAAAATATAAATTTGTCCAAATGAAGTATTGGGTTCATGCGCCCTTGATTCTTCTAATGCTCAGCAAAATATAGATATTTTTATCATATTTTTAGAATGTTTAGTGAGTATTTGATATTCAGGTATGAAGGAAATGCTTTTTTCTTCCTCTCAGAACAAGGCAAAGTTTTAAGATGTGTTTTAACGCAACCCCCCACCTCCCCCACTCCCTTTCTACCCTTGATCTGCAAGAATATGTGCAGACAAGGAAACATCTCCTAATTAGAATTCACAGTTTTTACTTCCCCAGTTATTTCTAATCTGAAAATGGTTAACAACTTTAGTGTCTTCTAGGGATCAGAATAAATTGAATTCTCACACTTTCTTGGAGGTTACTCTCTCTCTCTATCTCTCCACTGCTGTACTCTTTCAAAAAAGTTGGCTCCTGCTCTGTTTTGCTCTTGGGTCTACAAGAGCAAAGCAGTCCAGGAATCTCTTCATGCTGTGTGGTTCCCCTCACCCTCCAACTCTGATAGGCCCCTGTGACCGTGTGAGTACGTTAGTCTTCTCCCATTCAGAATAATATGTATACACACACAAGCTCAGCTTCTCTACTATTGGAGGCATCTGACTCTGTGCCAGAAATTACAGGAGGCTCCCAGTTCTTTGTGATAACTGTATCTAGGGAACTGTACTGAGTAATGAATTGCTGGAACTATTCTCTGTTGTCCCATTGAGCACGTTGTGAGCAGACATAAAGCAGGGCTTCTCCTAATGCGGTGTTGGTATTGACAGTGAGAGAAGAGAGGGTCAGAGAGATAGTCTTTCCAAGTGCACGCAGTAATTGCTGTAGTGGAATTTGTTAAAGCTCATGAATCCTGAGTCTTGCCCGTGATCTCATTCTTTAACATCAACAGTGAGAAAGGAACCAAGCTTGTTTTCCTTTCTTAGAATGTATAGTCATCTTCTGCTAAGTAAGATCCTTCTTGCCAGGGGTGAAATGCTACCGGTTCACACCGGTTCGGGTGAACCAGTAGTAAAAAAAAAAAGCTACCGGTTCATCCGAACTGGTATTTCCAACGAACAGCTGGGCCGTGTGGTTTATATTCGCTAGAATGCAGGAAATCTTGCTTTCTAGCGAAGCTAAATCACATGGCACAGCTGTTCTTCCCCCCACCACCACCACCACTCGCTGTTCTACTTACCTTGTCAAGCCTCCTTTTTCCACGCGCAGCGTGCGTTTGGCGTGCACTGCATGGGCAGTAAACTGGTGGCGGAGGATTTCACCACTGCTTCTTGCCATCTTCCCAACACTCTCCCACCCTCCCCTCTCTGTCCTTGCAGAAGCTACAGCCAAGAGACTTTTAGTAGCCAGGAAAATTACATTTGCTCCCTGCCTCGTGGCATGTCTCTTAGCTCCAGGCTTGGCCGGGCTGCTTGCCAGAAGTGTTTTGGCCTCTTCTAGCCTTCCCGTTTTCTTTGCTATTTTGCAATTTTAAGAGGAGGCCAGCCATCGGGAAGAAGTCTGCATGGGAGCAACTCATAAGGGCTTGCTGGACATTCCCTGAAGTTCCTGGGAATATGGGATAGTGATACGTATAAATCCTGGTTATTTTCCAAAAGGTTTTTAATAGGAATTTTCCTGGACACATGTGCTCCGAAAAAAGTATTTTGAACTTAGTGAGCATATTCTTGGTTAAAGAATAAAAGGATTCTGTTCTGATCCTTAAAAGTCATATAAAGGCAAATCTAATTGAGTTGCAAGAATTTTAAAAATGTACATTAAAATATAATAACCAAATTAGGATGTTATACATCAACACAGCAGGGACACAGCAGCTCAGGGGCTAAGACGCTGAGCTTGTCGATCGAAAGGTTGGCAGTTCAGCGGTTTGAATCCCTAGTGCCGCGTAACGGGGTGAGCTCCCGTTACTTGTCCCAGCTTCTGCCAACCTAGCAGTTCGAAAGCAAGTAAAAAATGCAAGTAGAAAAAATAGGCACCACCTTTGGTGGGAAGGTAACAGCTTCTGTGCACCTTTGGCGTTGAGTCATGCCGGCCACATGACCACGGAGATGTCTTCAGACAACGCTGGCTCTTCGGCTTTGAAATGGAGATGAGCACCACCTCCTAGAGTCGGGAATGACTAGCACATATATGCGAGGGGAACCTTTATCTTTACCTTTTACATCAACACACAAGTATCTAATTTTTTGCATAAGACATTCAAACATGTATGTTTCAGGTTAAAGGGCATTCCAGAGTTGAGATTATACACAACCTGCTTTACCATAGTCTATTCTGGAAGTGTGACTGATAGTCACCTGTTGGCTTCTGGTGAGGTCATAGATTATATATACTACGGTATGAGGTTGACAAACGGGACTCTCAGCCACAGACACCACTTGACAAAGCAGGGGGGAAAAGATGGATTTTTTAAAAAAACAAAAATCTATGAATGATAAACCTGTTCCTTCAAAGGGAGTGCAATAACAAAGCAGCTAAGGCAGTTTCCCCTGCAAAAAAAAAACCAAAACAAAAACACTGCAAAAAAACCCGGAATGGAATGGTTACAAGTAGTTGATTCATTCATAAACCCTGGAGCTAAAATACAGATGTTTGCAAAGAATATTTGATTTGAAGTTTGGAATTAAAGAGAACTTGATTTGTAGTAGGGCTGCTTAAAATTCTTGACCATTTCTCAAGACAGTTTTGTGTTCTCTTTTTACTTCCAGTCCTCTTCAGATTAGTAAACCTAAGCCAGTTGCAGAGTGAGGCCCTGTATCAGGCAATATAATGCGGAAGCCAAGCCCTCAGAAAGGTAAGTTGTAAGCCAAGCCCTCAGAAAGGTAACAATCGTTTCCGTAAAATGACATGAGACATTAATAAGGCCATTGGTGAAGGGAGTGTATGCTCTTAAGCAAACATCCAGACAAGAAGGACATTGGGTTACTATAAATACCAGCAAGCTAGAAAACCACTTCAAGTTAATTTGCATCCCTTTCTTCTTTCATGCCTTTTGTTGGCTGGTTGCTGTTGTTTCATCCTTTTTACCTCTGTTGCATACATGCTAACACTCTTTTAGACAAATCTAATTCCTGCAATAAATATGTTTGTTGGCTTCATTAAAGGCAAGGAGCTGCTCTCAAGTAAAACTGTATAGGATTTTATCTTTTATCGTGAAAACATTTTCGATAAGAACATGACCCTTTTCTAGGTTAAATCAGGTCTGTCTAATCCCGTATTCTTTCTCACCATGGTTCTCTAGCACAGGGGTATCAAACTCAATTTCATTGTGGGCCGCATCAGGGTTGTATTTGACCTGGGGGGGGGGCGGACCGGAGTGGGCGTGGCCAGGGGGCGTGGCCAGCTCAACGTCACTCATGTCGGGGGTACCTGTGGCGGCCCGAGCTATCTGCCAGCGAAAACTGGCTCCCGAGCTCCATTTTCGGCTGTGACGACCTCCTGCAACCATCTGTCAGCGAAAACGGAGCTTTCACTGACAGAGGCACCTTGGGCCAGTCCTTCGTTGTTTCCAGGGTGGCCCCATGAGCCAGATCTAAGCACCCGCAGGCCTTGAGTTTGACACCCCTGCTCTAGTTGGTTCTCAGGAATAAAAAAAAACACTGTCATCCTCTCCTATATGTATGTAACTAGTACCAAAGATCAGTGCTGTAATGAATGCTCTGCTAGTGATGCTGACCATTCGCTTATTTTGCTTAGGAAAGTGATGGCTAACCTTTTTGCCATCGCGTGCCAGGAGAGGGGGGGTGGGGGAGGGTCACGCGCGCACGTGCCCACATGCATGTGTGCGCAACCCCCTCCCCCCCCCCCGCTCCTGCCACAGGATGGCCTGGTAGGCCCATATTTCTTTCTTACCTGGTTCCAGATCCTCTCTGTGAATCTGGGAATGGCGAAAACAGCCTTTCCCATTCCCTTGGAGGCCCTACGGAGGCTGAAAGGGCCCATTTCCCAACTCCCGGTGGGACAGGAAGTGACATTTTTTGCTGTCCCCAGCCTCCAGAACCTCTCTAGGAGTCTCTAGGAGCCTCTTTAGGAGTCTGTAGGAGCCTCTCTAGGAGTCTCTGGAGGCTGGGGACAGGAAAAAAGTCACTTCCTGTCCCACCGGGAGTGGGGAAATGGGCCCTTTCAGCCTCCGTGGGGCCTCCAAGGGAGTGGGAAAGGCTGTTTTCGCCGTTCCCAGATACACAGAGAGGATCTGGAGCCAGATAAGAAAGAAAAATGGGCCTTCCCCACCTCCCCCAGGCCCTCCAGAGGCAGGAAACAGCCTGTTTCCCTACTTCTGGTGGGCCCAGAAGGCCCGAAAATCAGCTGGCCGGCACACGCATGCGCCCCAGAGCTGAGCTGGCATGCCCACTAATATGGCTCCGCGTGCCACCTGTGGCACGTGTGCCATAGGTTCGCCATCACGGGCCTAGGATGTGTAGTGGCTGGCCACCTTTTGGATTTCTCCCCCGCAAACTCCCTACCTTCTTGCTCATCAGTAACACTTTTTTGCCCTCATGACATTTTTAAGGCAGTCCTAGCTTGCCATTCTGTGAAGGGGCTGAAGGGAGCTCTTTTTGAGCCCATACTGCCTCTTTGGCACCATATGCTTACAATCCCAGCATGGTGCAAGCCAGTACTGTGTTGGCAGATGCCTCCTTGCCTTTTAATGAGGCATGAAACCAACAGCCAGGCTACCTCACAGTACTTTCCTCTAGCGGCTGTAATCTTTCCTTCTCCGAGAGAAATTATGCTTGGGTTGTGGCATATGCACGCCAGGCAGATTTTCCTTAAAACTCTTTGTCTGTTTACTGCTCTCTTTTGCCGCCGCCTCCTCCTCCTCTTACCCGACACAACTCATCATCTTTGGAAGGAAAGAAGAGCTTCTGATTAAACCAAGATTTTTTGTTTGTTTGTTTGTTTGTGTAGCTTTCTGCTAAATTTACCCAGAATAATATAAGAGGAGATTGTGGTGAAAAGCACAGGTTCTGCTCTCCACTGTTGTCACTCTTCATTTACTACAGAAAGTAGAATGGTTTTTGGAATAATTTCTCATGCCAGGTTTATGCTGCTGCTGCTGCTCGCTGCTTCTCCACTTTTAACTTCCTCCTGCTTTGAATTGCTTTTGGGTCTCTGATGGCTCCTCCCTCAGGATTGGTAGCCCCTCCCCCTCTGCCCTCCGCATTGCCCCTTAAAATGAGAGCTTATGGAGGAAAAGAGCAATCCAGGTGAGCCTGCTGAGAAGCCGCTGGAGCCCTGGATAGTAAAGATGCTGCTTGATTAGTTAAGACAGAGCCCAGCCTCTACGGATGTAAGCCTCTCGTGCTCAGTTTATCATCATTTTCACAGAGTACAAATCCTTCAGCTGAAACTGCTGCTGTGGTCTCTGGTTATGACTACTATATAATACAATTCAGAACTAGCACCTGTGTTTTTAACCAGGCAGCTCGTTCTCCGTGCACGTGTCTCTCGAAAGCCATTGGAGGATATATAGGGGTTGTCATTGTCGCAGGGGTGGGGTTTTTTTGGCAGCAGCTTCTCTTTTCTCACTTTTGAACATCTGTCCTCATCAGGGTTTGTTTCCCTCAAAATCAGTGACAGCTTGCAAATACAGTTTCACCTTTTGAAAGCCGGGAAATAGTTTGCTGCAGCCAATAGGCCAAATAGTTCCCCAACAACGTCTAGAGAGAGTATTAGAATTTTCAGATGAAAACACTATAAGGTCTTGTGAAACGTCGTGTCTCGTTTGGCACTTAATTGAAAATGAATAAATGTGTTTTTATTTAATTATGGAGGCCTGTAGACCAAGGATGCCATTATGTCTAGGCATTAGATTGCTGACTCCTGATTTTGCCAGCCTAACCCTAACCCATGGAGGGGGGGAGGGATACATTTGCAAAATGTCAGACACAATATTACAGCCAAAAAAACATCTCTTTAGCCCATATGACAACCTTCTCTCTCTCTCTCCCTCTCTCTCTCTCTCTCTCTCTCTCTCTCTCTCTCTCTCTCTCCTCTTCTCTCCCTCCCTCCCTCTCTCTCTCTCTTTCTTTCTCTCTCTCACACACACACGGTGGAACTTCTGCCATGATTCTATCCCACCGTCCTGCAGATATATCCACACACCCTTGGACATGTCTGTATGTCTGTCTTGTGGAAGTGCTTGAGTGTTTCAGAAGATGATGTGGCACTCAATAAAACAAACAAAATGTTAACAAGTTACGACATTTATGTAGTTATTTACCAAGCACCATCTAAATTATATTAAAGTAACCAAAATATATTTACAATCCCCAAGACATGTCACAACTTGTGAGCACCCCTAATGTTTGGAAATTGAAAATTGGCAAATTTGAGACGCCCTAAGTTTTCAAAAAAGATTCACAAACTTTAAAAGTGACTGCACTAGATAGCTCTGTGAGATAGGTCTTCAACCACTTAAAACAGGCACTATAAATACCACACACACTTCTAGAGAGAAGTTCCCTGAGGATGGGCGCCAGCACGAGTCCGAAAGCTTGGAAGACAAAATCTCCAGTCCTGGTGACCGACCCAGATTGAATCCTGCAGGTCTACTGGATCCTGGATCCCCAGTGTAGTTGCTCAGTCATTTCTCTGTTCGTTTCCTTTCCACCATTAAGATTATCGTGTATAAGATAGTCAGACTTACACATTTTTTAAATAAAAAATTACATAAACCGGAACAGGGTGGTCTGAAGGAATGTAGGTACTGTATCCTTTTCCCCTTGGATTGAGGGCCAAAAAAAAAGCTGACTTGATTTGCTTAGTGGAGGGAAGATGTCTGACAATGAAGGTAAAAGATGCTTTGAATTTGTCCAAGCCCTAGTAAATATGTTGCATATTTGCTTACATGAAAAAAAAAGTCATAATACTGTAATGTGATTAATGTGGGGTTATTTTCTTTTTACTCACTTTAATGATCTTAGCAATAGATTGGAAAGATGGCAAAAAGCACAAGTATGGACGTCTATCTGAACCCCCTTCTCAGTATCAAGGTATGGATGTTTCTGTCTTCTTTTTTTCTTCATTGGAGAATTAGGACATAATTCTTCAGAAAAGGGAATGACAAATAGATGAAATGATCTCATTTAAAGTGTCCACAAAGCTGCCTTATATGTAACTCACTCAATTTGATTAATTAAAATTAATTCTAGCTCCAGAGTTTCAAGTAGAGATTTTCCTTACCTCTTTTAAATGAGTTCAGGAAAAAGATGTCAGAGACCTCTGAGCACCTATAGAACAGGCACTTTTACCTGCGGAATCTTGGTCTCTGTGCTGATAAAGAAATCATAATCATAGGCATCTGTTTGGGGCAAGCCGTTTGCAAAAATGCAGTTTGTGAACTTCAATAAGGATGCATATATCTAATAACAGGGTGGCTCAGGGGCTAAGACGCTGAGCTTGTCGATCGAAAGGTCGGCAGTTCAGCAGTTTGAATCCCTAGCGCCACGTAACGGGGTGAGCACCCGTTACTTGTCCCAGCTTCTGCCAACCTAGCAGTTCGAAAGAACGTAAAAATGCAAGTAGAAAAATAGGGACCACCTTTGGTGGGAAGGTAACAGCGTTCTGTGCGCCTTTGGCATTTAGTCATGCTGGCCACATGACCAAAGAGACGTCTTTGGACAGCGCTGGCTCTTTGACTTTGAAACAGAGATGAGCACCACCCCCTAGAGTCGGGAACAACTAGCACATATCTACAAGGGGAACCTTTACCTTTACCTTATAGCTAATGAGTGCAATATCTCTGATGGCCTCAGAACTCAATGTATATATATAAGCACACAAGCTCAACTCTTAAGGTGGTAACATCTGAGATATAGCATATTTCTATAAGCATAATTGGCAGTGAGAACGATTAATCAGTGGTAACAGCTTGCTTTCCAATGTTGGGGGTGCTCCATCGCTGGAGATTTTCTAGAAAAGATTGGACAACCATTTGTCCAGGATAGTATAAGGGCTCCTGCCTTGGACTAGAAGACCTCCAAGGTTCCTTCCAGCCCTGTGATTCTATGATCATTCTTTGCTTGAAGTTGCTGCCATTTTGATGAACACGATATATGTGAACCAAAGCAAGATGAGATGTTTTCTTCGCTGGCTCATAGTTATTGACTTTTTTGTTGTTCTTAGATATGCAAAGTCTCATCTAATTCCCACATAACAGCCTATAGTCGCAAGTTAATCTGTAGTATATAATTGTTCCTCTTGGTATCTATAAAAGGAGTCCTATTTTTTTTTTATTTTTTTTTTTACAAAACAGAGGCTGGGGAGCCATCTATCAGGAATGCTATAGTAGTGAACTTCAGGTTATCAGCAACAGTTGGACTAGTGGCCTTTTAAAGGTTCCAGGGCTTCATATGTGGGAAGGATGTAAACCAGTGGTGGGTTGCTACCGGTTCTCCCCGGTTCTTGTGAACCGGTAGTGGAAATTTTGAGTAGTTCGGAGAACCAGTAAATACCACCTCTTCCTGGCCCCACCCCCAATCTATTCGCTGCCTCCCGAGTCCCAGCTGATCGGCTAGAAGGAAAAAAACTGTTTAAACTCTTGCTGCGGCGCTTCAAAGGGCTGCCCTACAGCTGATCAGTGGTAAAAGACAGTGTGGTGGTAGACCAGTGCTCTCCAAAAACAAATGGGTAGACCGGAACGCTCCAAAAACAAATGGGTAGACTAGTACAGCTCTGCAAGCAGTTAAAAGCCTGATAAACCAGTACCTCTGCTAAATCCTAAAATATTGTCACATGACCATCAAACCATGCCCACAAAATTGAGCCTTGGTAGTACAGTGGTCTAAGGCACCCTGTTATTAAGCTGGTTATTAAGACCAGCTGCCTGCAATTACTGCAGGTTTGAATCTCGCCAAGGCTCAAGGTTGACTCAGCCTTCCATCCTTTCTAAGGTAGGTAAATTGAAGACCCAGTTGTGGGGGCAATAAGCTGACTTTGTATAAATATACAAAAGGATGAAGGCTATTGCTTAACGCATTGTAAGCCGCCCTGAGTCTCCGGAGAAGGGCGGCATATAAATCAAATTAAAAAAAATAATAATAATAAGCCACACCCACAGAACCGGTAGTAAAAAAAATTAGAACCCACCCCTGATGTAAACCCTTTTATCAAATTTCTGATGGTGACCTTCTCTTGTGCAAGCCGTACTGTTCAGCTCGTTGACTTTGATAAAGTGGTGGTCATTAGCCCAGATAGCTTCAAAAGGAGGGTTGGATTCTTAGAGGGATGGCCTTTTTATCACTATTGGCCCATGATGTCTAACTGAAACTCTTAGGCCAGGGTTTACTGCTTTACTACTAATATCTAATATTTGGGACCAACAGTAGGGAAGAATATTGCCTTTTTATTTTGTTTACTGTGGCGACATTATTAGGCTGGATATGCTTATTGAATTGGCTTGTATATGTTATATATGTATGTGCGTGTGTGCTGTTTATGTGAATTTATTTGTATCTTTTCTTTTGAGTTAATTTTGCTGCATTCCCATAGTATGAGCCATATGGAGCTGGCAATATGAACAAGCCCTTAGAGAAAAGAGGGCAGGTTGCCACTGAAAACAGTTGGATGATTATCAAAATGTAACGAAGCTAATTGTCGCATGAAAAACTATAAAAACAAATGATGTTTTGTTAATTCTCTTATAAACTGAAAAAACTTTTTTTTTTTGCTATATTAAAAGGTCATGTGGTAATTATTAAAGTGTGAAGTTCTATACTTGAGATGGATATCGTTAAAAGTACAATACTTGACTTTTCATACTGGCTCAGCTTATACACCATAGTAAACACTAAATCAAATGAAATAGGATTATCCATAGAATAACCTATACCCAATCAAATAAATCATGTTAGGGTTTGATGTCATGGTCTGAATCACAAAATATCCCAAACTAGCCAACCTCTTTTTACATTTGTTTAGCATAAGGTTATGCAACCTTTTTGATTCTATGTCCCTTTACAAAATCATTTTCAGACTCTGTACATGTCATTGCCTTCTTATTATGCACAATCCATATTCAAGGCTGACTGTTGCTATTACCAAATCTTGATGTAATAATCACGTTAATCTAATTCAAAGCAGCCAGAAGTCACGTGATCTGAGATTATATGATCTAAGATAAGACAACTATTTTAAGACAATATAATGTATATAATATAATAACATAATAAATATTTATATTCGAGTAAGACAATCACATAAGTATATATGATCTAAGATAAGACAACCATTTGTCTGAAATGGTTAGGGTTTCCTGCTTAAGCAGGGGGTTGGACTAGAAGACCTCCAAGGTCCCTTCCAACTCTATTACTCTGTTATAAATGACAATCTTTTGCCAGACTGAAAATCTTGTAGAACTCTGGGGCATGGCATCACCATGATCGTATCTGGCTTCTAATGTCAGCGCCCTGTATCTGAATCAAATGTATCTCTAAAATTTATAGTCACATCATTGGAAAATGCTGACCTAACATGATTTGTGAACACAGTAGCTGTGTTGTATTGAGATCCAACTCTGCATCCTAAACAGTTTCCTTCTATTCGTATATTAAATAGGCCAATTCATTTTAAGAGTACAGTACACAACTGTTAAAAGGGATGTAGTGGCTCAGTGGCTAAGACGCTGAGCTTGTCAGTAGAAAGGTCGGCAGTTCAGTGGTTTGACTCCCTAGTGCTGCATAACAGGGTGAGCTCCCGTTACTTGTCCCAGCTTCTGCCAACCTAGCAGTTCAAAAACATGTAAAAAATGCAAGTAGAAAAATAGTTGGGAAGATAACAGCGTTCCCTGCGCCTTTGGCGTTTAATCATGCCGGCCACATGACCACGGAGACATCTTCGGATAGCGCTGGCTCTTCAGCTTTGAAACGGAGATGAGCACTGCCCCCTAGAGTGCGAGGGGAACCTTTACCTTTACACAACTGTTGGAGGAATATTACTATATTCTTTTGCCTACCAATTAAACACAGAAGTACCTGTTTTAGATAACATGAGAATGTCAGGTTTGTGTGTTCCCTTCTCCTCTTTCTTGAATTCATGATACCCCATATCCTGACACCAGTATTATAAACATATCCCTGAGGATGATGAGCCAAGGGAAGTCTTGTTATAATGATACAGAAAGTGTAAAAAATGTCAGTACATTGAAGTAGACATTACAGAAAGGAACTTGATTCACATCTTCCATTTACATTGCCATGTCTCAAACATCATAACATGTAATTCAACCCTAACAGTCCATCTTGAATTCTTTGTTTGGATGAGGAAGCTATTTGTGGCAGAAACACTTTTACTTCTGATATTTACAAGCTGCTTTGGGAAACTTGTTAGCTAAGAGTGGGATGGAATGTTAAAAAAAACAAGTAAGCAGCAATCTTTTTAATAGCATGCAATAATACTGGGATTCCAAAGACATGGAAGAATGTTATGAAGAATAAAGGAAGAAGAATATAAAAGCATGTACTCTGATTCCACTACAAAAGAAAACCCACTTGCTAGAATAAATATACTGCTGTGTGTCCCTGGGAAAATGAAACTGGAACATGCTGTAAGGGCAGCACATAAACTAAAAACTAAATTAGATTTAAGCTTTAGCTAAGTTAAACATTCTCCTCCTGTGCTGATCCTTTTATGACTAATGCCCAGGTAATTTATCATGTCTCAGACCTTCATCCAGACCAAGAATTGTTGAAAAAGAGTTGATTTTTTTTCTTTCCCTACAAAGAGGCCAAAAGGGCCCTCGGTAACCAACCGAGCGACAAACTGTTTATTAAAGACCGAGTGGCTTTTTTCAACCTTGCCTCCAAACCTTTCGTCACAGCCAACTTTTGTTCTCCATCTTCTCTTCAGGTCATTTTGCCTGGGATAAATACTTGAAAGAGACATGTTCCATCCCAGCTCCTGCCCATTGCTTCAAGCAGGTAATGGAGCATTCCATGTTCTAAAAGAGTTGGGATGAAGGGGTCTGCTTCTAGTCGGCTCCTATACAAGTATGGAATAGACTCCTCTGCCTTCTGTTGGTGGGAGAAGAACAAACAAAGCAGGTACCCGGTTGTAAATTCTATACTAGAAAAAAAAAGGTGCACTATGAGTTCTAGAGTTGATGAAATAGCTCAGGAACCTTAGTTCGCAGGTATCACTGATTTAACATGGGCTGTGTGTACCTAAGGGTGCAGGTAGTCCTCGACTTACAACCACAGCTGGGACCAGACTTTCCAAAAGCTGAGTCACGCTCAATTTTACAATCTTTTTGCCGTGATTGCCGTGATTGTTAACTGAACCACCGCAGTTGTTAAGTGAATCATACAGCCGTTAAACGAATCCACCTTCCACCCTTGACTTTTGCTCGTGGGAAGCCAGCTGGGGAAGGAAATGCAAATGGCATTTACGTGACTTTCAGCACACAGTAACCATCCTAAACACATGGCGGTTGCTACACAGCCGAATTTTGACCCCGGGGGTGCTGCAATGATTGTGTGGAAGTGTGCAATGAAGTGAGAGAGCCAGTGATAAGTCACTTTTCCAGTGCTGTTGTAACTTCAAATGGTCACTAAATGAATGGTTGCAAGTCGAGGACTACCTGTACATCCAGATAAGACATTTCCTGTGTTGTTCTTACAAAATAACTCCAGGAAAAGGGAATTCATTCACTATTGCTTCCCGCTTGTGACCTCTCCCTCTCCTCTTTTTTCCACACTGCTTTTACTTGTTTTTAAGATTGAAATCTATTAGAGGGAAAGAGACAGAAAAAACACTGACTATGTGAGGAACTAGCCTGAAAGGACCTAGACCATTGCATACGCATTCATAGCACATTATGATTGTTTTAGACTTGATGTAAATAATTGCTTTAGACTAAACGTTAATTAAACAGGATTATTGTCATAATATCTGAGCTCAGCTATGACCTGCTGGGTATTGTCTTTGACTAGAATTTTAAAAATAAAAGCCACTTTTACATAGATGGAATGCACTGTAGTAACCAAAGGGAATAATTGCCAAAAAATGAGTCAATGTATAATTCTTAGCATGCCCATTGTTTTAATATCGTTTGCCAAATGAAAGTACAAGAAGCAAAGATTTTGGAGTACTGCGGAAGTGTCGGATGTAATATGCTTGTAAAGGCACTGGGTGTAATTCCTAGCATGTTCAGTTCAATGGGATCAGAGTAGGCAATATCATGGGAATTGGGTGAATGGTCTGTCTGACTTGCATAAGGCAGCTTACCATGACCTCAAGAGCATTCAGTGGAGAAGGTAAGCATGGAACTGGTTTAGTAGTAATAAAGTGGGACCGTTTGATTGGAGTATGAAATTCTGCCTGTTTTACCTCAAAAGATACTGAAGAACAAAAGGAGGGAGAAAAGTTTAGATTTAAATGTCTTCAGTTGAAGAGAATTAATCTTCCATTGATGGTTGGATTCTCCTCTCTTCCCCCTGTCCTTATCCTGTTCATTTCTCTTTTGCATACTTGACTGGGAATCACAGCCCCAAAAATTTCATTGATGTTCAGAAGCCAGGAACAATGTAGGGAATGAGGAGGAAGGAAGAGGAGTTTGGGGAAGAGCATAAAATGAACTGCCTAAAAGATGAAGTGTGACCAAAAGCCTTGTTCTCCTCAGTCTTACGCCCCACCCAGCAATGAATTCAAGATCAGCATGAAGTTAGAAGCCCAAGATCCCAGAAACACCACGTCAACTTGTATTGCCGCTGTGGTGGGGCTGACAGGTGCCCGTCTCCGATTACGTCTCGATGGCAGTGACAACAAGAACGACTTCTGGCGTCTGGTAGATTCTTCAGAAATCCAGCCCATTGGCAACTGTGAAAAAAATGGCGGGATGCTCCAACCTCCTTTAGGTGAGTTGGCCCAAAAGAGGATTACTGTTTTCATCAGTACCAGGAACGGTATCCCTGGCATATGATGTTTTTACAAATACGATGTTTGTGACAGACTTGAACATTGGGCTCTATCTAACAAAATGAAAGTCAACAGTGAAAAAAAGTAAGGTTCTACATTTAGGCAAGAAAAACAAAATGCACAGGTACAGTATATGTGGTACCTCGCTCAATATTATTAACTGTGAGAGGGATCTTGGAGTCCTAATGGACAACCATTTAAATATGAGCCAGCAGTGTGCAACAGCTGCCAAAAAAGCCAATGCAATTCTGGGCTGCATAAACAGAGGGATAGAATCAAGGTCATGTGAAGTGTTAATACCACTTTATAATGCCTTGGTAAGGCCACACTTGGAATACTGCATCACGTTTTGGTCACCACGATGTAAAAAAAGATGTTGAGACTCTAGAAAGAGTGCAGAGAAGAGCAACCAAGATGATTAGGGGACTGGAGGCTAAAACATATAAAGAACAGTTGCTGGAATTGGGTATCTCTAGTTTGATGAAAAGAAGGACTAGGGGAGACATGATAGCAGTGTTCCGATATCTCAGGGACTGCCACAAAGAAGAGGGAGTCAAGCTATTCTCCAAAGCAGGAGGGCAGGATAAGAAGCAACAGATGGAAGGAAACTAATCAAGGAGAGAAGCAACCTAGAACTAAAGAGAAATTTCCTGACAGTTAGAACAATTAATCAGTGGAACAACTTGCTCTAGATGTTGTAAGTGTTCCAACACTGGAAGTTTTTAGGAAGAGATTGCATAACCATTTGTCAGAAGTGGTGTAGGGTTTCCTGCCTAAGCAGGGGGTTGGACTGGAAGACCTCCAAAGTCCTTTCCAACTCTGTTATTCTATTCTATTCTAAATACGATGTTTGCTAATCCAGGAGGCCTCTTGTTTTACTAATTGCCTTTTTGTTGTGGTTAGTGTTGGTAGAGGAAGTCCCATCTCTTTTATATAAATCACTCACCGTTTTCAGAAAAGCTCCTGGCTCCTGAAAAATCCCTCATGACTTCAGTAAACCACAAGCACCTGGTGCTCTTGCCATATCTAACAGAAGACTCCTGCAAATGAGAAGAGTCTTGCTTTGTCTTCCTGAAAAGCACATTCTGTTATCGATTCCTAAATTTGCTGAGGTTAATTCTGCTTTCCCCTTTGCTGTCCATGGTGGATTCCAAGGAATTACCCAAGTTGTAAGCAAGTCAACTCGTGCTAGCAATAGCAATAGCACTTAGACTTATATACCATTTCATAGTGTTTTACAGCCCTCTCTACGTGGTTTACAGAGTCAGCATATGACCCCCAACAGTTTGGGTCCTCAGATAAATACTAGCTGAGGACTGCTTAGCCATCTCGAGGGCTTTCTTTTGTTTGCTGTATTGATTGCAAAAGATCTTAGTCTGGTCGTTCTTATGTGATGTTGTCCTTATCACAGGAAACTAGGATAGCAGCTAGTCTGAAAGTCGGTTTAAACTAAATTTAAATATTTTGAAGGCTTTTGATCCAGAGTAGCTCATGAGATGCATCATTGATTATTCCTTGAACATTTGTTGACTTACTGGTCTGGAAGTTTTTTTTTTTTTTTTTTCCATATAATTCTTACTGTTTATCTGAGTAAGGTGGTGTTATTGGAATCGGCGGTAAAATACGTTAAAATTAAACGGTAATAACGATTCTGTTTTATTGAACTACATCAGCACCACTTCCTTTGGCTCCCTTTGTTTATTGCCATTACAAGGATGAACGTTCCATTTTGCACTGAAGTTTTCTTATATCAGGATGATTCCATTCTGTTTCTCATGTCTGTAAATTCTGTACTTCCTTTACACTTTTCATAGATTAATGCACTGTGAAAATATTTACTATTTAGTAACATTGTTACTGGGAGATCAGTATTACTGAATGCTGCATTGGTGCCTTCATAATGGAAGGATGACTGTTAGGATGTTCTTCGTTGCAGCTACTATTTTAACAGCCTCCATCTCCGCTTCAGGTTTTCGTCTGAATGCTTCCTCTTGGCCTATGTTTCTTCTGAAGACTCTGAACGGAGCAGAAATGGCTCCCATTCGGATTTTCCATAAGGTACTGTAGCATGCAGCCTTTCTGATCCCTGAAACCACCTGGTTCCATTTGTTGTGATAAATAAGTCTAGCGACCTCTGCTTGATATGCCACTTGTTGGAAAAATATATATTTATTTGGTATATTTATACAGTTGCCCATCTGCCAAGGCACATATAAAAACAGAACAGATAACAACTGAACATAATCACAATCCATTACATAAAAAATACCAAGTCAAGGCCCCTAAAAAAATTTCACTAGCACTTAACAGATTAAACTGCACCCACATGACAGCTCTGTTAGCCCCCTGGTCCAGTACTTCTGGAAGACTGACTGTTTGTCCATGTTTGGAAGGGGGCTGTTCCCCAGGACAAGTGCCATGATAGAGAAGACATGTTTCATTTGTGGGCCAGAGCTTGTCCACTCTCCAGTCTGATGGGACAGGCAGAAACCATCTATGGGGAACGCATCAAATTTGCAGATGACACCAAGCTAGCAGGAATAGCCAACATTCCAGAAGATAGGCTTAAGATACAGAAGGATCTTGACAGACGTGAACATTGGGCGCTATCTAACAAAATGAAATTCTATGGTGAAAAATGTACGGTTCTACATTTAGGCAAGAAAAACAAAATGCACAGGTACAGTATATGTGGTACCTTGGTAAATAGTAGAAACTGTGAGAGGGATCTTGGAATCCTAGTGGATAATCATTTAGATATGAGCCAGCAGTGTGCAGCAGCTGCCAAAAAAGCCAATGCAATTTTAGGCTGCATAAACAGAGGGATAGAATCAAGATCACTTGAAGTGTTAATACCACTTTATAATGCCTTGGTAAGGCCACACTTGGAATACAGCATCCAATTTTGGTCACCACGATGTAAAAAAGATGTGGAGACTCTAGAAAGAGTGCAGAGAAGAGCAACAAAGATGATTAAGGAGACTGGAGGCTGAAACATATGAAGAACAGTTGCAGGAACTGGGTATGTCTAGTTTAATGAAAAGAAGGGGAGACCTGATAGCAGTGTTCCAATATCTCAGGGGTTGCCACAAAGAAGAGGGAGTCAAGCTATTCTCCAAAGCACCTGAGGGTAGGACAAGAAGCAATGGGTGGAAACTAATCAAGGAGAGAAGCAACTTAGAACTAAGGAGAAATTTCCTGACAGTTAGAACAATTAATCAGTGGAACAACTTGCCTCCAGAAGTTGTGAATGCTCCAACACTGGAAGTTTTTAAGAAGATGTTGGATAACCATTTGTCTGAAGGGTGTAGGGATTCCTGCCTAAGCAGGGGGTTGGACTAGAAGACCTCCAATTATATCAGGGAGAAGCAGTCCCAGAAGTAACTTGGCCCTAAGTTGCTTGCTTTATGTATAATCAGCATCTTGAATTGTATTTGGACATCTGCTGGGATTTCTGGATGAGATTCCGTGAGTAATATCTGTAGGCTGAAGAGATAAATCTTGGGAGAACCGAGTCTCTTTAGGCAATAAAATGGAATCACGTTAAGTCGGGATTCATTCTGTGTGAATGTGTTTGTGTTAAGATTAAAGGCTAACAGGAGGGAAAGCTGAATATAGAAAAATCCATTCAAGGATTAAGGTGGGCGCAAGAGAGACACTTGAGAAAAGAATAGCTACCAAACAATTGAGATCTCAGGATGGGTCGGGGGCAGCCAAGATTTTAGGCTGTGTTATGCTTATATAGATGACTGGACTCTAGCTTGGTAGAAACTGCTCTTTATCTTTTTTGGCTCGCTTTAACTGCAACAAAGGAAATTTATATAATCAACTTGAGTCCTAGATTTCCTTAGAGTGTGCCAGGTTTTAGTAAGAATTATTGCAGGTGTCTGACAGCAACCTTGACATTTGGGAGAAGCGGTAATTCAACCTGACAACAGGAAAAGGGAAGGAATGTTAGGAGAGGAAGAGTTGGCTGGCTATTTCAAGAAGTCTGGACTTGCAGTCATAATGTTCAAGCCTCCTTTTTACAAATCAGGATGTATTTTTAAACACACACACACCCCTTGCTTTAATGCTGCCCAGATGGAACAGATACCGCTCACGGAGCAGAATGTTATTTCTCTCATTATACTGTGACATTTCTGTTCTCCATAAATGCTTTTCAAATGGGGCACTTGATACTTTCAGCACGCCTCTGTCCTGTCACCATTCAGGATAACTTGGTTTGAACTAAGTTATCCTTTGGGTGAACTTTAGTTAAGAACTTCCCAAATATAGCCCTCCCACGCAGCATGACTTCTTAAAATCAAGTCAGTTAAAAAAATGGTATCTGGCTATTATTGCTCAGATGTAGAACTTAATCAGATTTTTTTAAAAAAACAAAAAACACCAGAATTTCACAATGCATCTGAAATTGAAAGGTGAAGCATTTGAGTCATACTGATGCAGAATCTCGACCTCTTATGGTACCTTATGCAAGAGCATTTTGAGAACCATGACTAGACTGGATCTATGGTTGACTTAATGATGTTTGCTGGGTCTTTCTCCTCTAGGAGCCACCATCTCCATCCCAGAATTTCTTTAAGATGGGGATGAAACTTGAGGCTGTAGACAGGAAGAACCCACATTTCATCTGCCCAGCCACTATTGGTGAGGTACGGGGTTCTGAAGTCCTTATCACTTTTGATGGCTGGAGGGGAGCCTTTGATTACTGGTGCCGCTATGATTCTCGTGACATCTTCCCTGTTGGCTGGTGCTCATTGACTGGTGACAATTTACAGCCCCCTGGAACAAAAGGTAAGTGTGCCATCACAGTTTCTACCACCGTTCACCCATCTATATCTCATATATCCATGTGATCGATCAGTAAATCAGAGAGGGAGGCATTGAAAATGGCCTGGGCCAATCCTTAAAGTACTACCTAATAGGAGGATGCTACAACTTGGTTAGGGAGCACTGGCTCAGTGGCTAAGTCGCTGATCTTATCGATCGAAAGGTCGGCAGTTCAGCAGTTGGAATCCCTAGTGCTGCGTAACATAGTGAGCTCCCGTTCCTTGTGCCAGCTTCTGCCAACCTAGCAGTTCGAAAGCACGTAAAAAATGCAAGTAGAAAAATTGGGACCACCTTTGGTGGGAAGGTAACAGAGTTCCATGTGCCTTTGGCATTTAGTCATGCCGGCCACATGACCACGGAGACGTCTTCGGACATCGCTGGCTCTTTGGCTTTGAAACGGAGATGAGCACCGCCCCTCTAGAGTCGAGTAAGACTAGCACATAACGTGCAAGGGGAACCTTTACCTTTTACTTTTACAACTTGGTCATTGTAGGACCAAGGAGGGTAGCCAATGATATCTCTTCCTTTCAGGTGTAACCTAATCTAGGAAGACAAAGCAACAGTGATGGTGGCTTCTCCAACCTAACAATTGTTGTTTAATTCCAGATCCTTTAGTAAAACTTCTCTATTAGCCATAATTTAATCTTGGATGAAAGTGCCAATCTGCCATGTGTCTCAGAGTCTAATTGTTATATAAGGGAAATGTGTCTCTCTGTCAGCTTTGTATGCCAGGGTGTTTTGTAATATAGCCAGCTAGGATTGGGGAACATTGAAGGCAAGAGGGAATGGTTCTGGTTTGTAGAAATTCTCACTGATCAGAGAGTTTCCCTGCATTCTACTGTATTTTTACTTTTTTGTATTCTTTTTTCATTTTCCATTTTATTAAGTGCCTTAAAGGTTTGCCAGAGTAGAAAGGCAGGGTATAAATCCAATAAATTAACAGCCCTGGAGAAAAAGATGGCAGTGGAAGAACTGCACAAGAATGAATATATATCTCCAACACAGCATTACTGATATGGATTAAATCAGCTTTTCTCTACCTTTAGAAGACAATTGTTTTTTAATTTAATTTTATTTTTCCATTTGTTTATTGCATTGGTTACAAATCCTAACACCAGCATACTCCATCGGTGTCTGAATTAAGCATTATTAAGAAAATTTTATAGTTGTAATGTTCAGCCTATTTCAGTAAACACTCCTGGTTGTAGTGATTGCTATAAATCCATGTTTTATAAATATATATATATATATATGGTGACAGAAAGAATAGTAATACCTTCAGTGCTTTTGACAGCAGAACATCTTCAAGTTGTCCAGGAACCCTGATATTCCATGGAACATAGCTAATTACACTCTAAATTACTTGTTAAACCAAGCTAATCTTGGTGAAGGACATGTGTGTTTGCTCATTTATCTATCTTTTGAAAATTCCCCATTATTGCAGGCCACTTCACTGTCTTCTCTTGGCCAGAGTTAGATGATTTGTAACTTCCCAGAGAACTATTTAGGATCTGGAAAGGTGGTTCATAGGCCTTTAGACTAAAGAAGGTTGCTTTGAGTGAACATAGCACTAGCAATAGCATTTAAACGTATCGCTTCACAGTGCTTTACAGACCTCTCTGAGCGGCTTACAGAGTCAGCATATTGCCCCCCCCCCCAAAAAAATCTGGATCCTCTTTAGGTCATAGAAAGGATGGAAGGCTGAGTCAATCTTGAACCCTGTCAGGATCAAACTGCAGGCTACGGGCACAGTTTGCCTGCAATACTGCACTTTCTGTTGGGCATGCTATCTGAGGATAATGAGAGACGTATCCCAAGTATGTGGGAGAGCTGAAGACAATTATTCCGGGGATATCTGCAGTCTGCAAACTGTACTTCTTTGGTTATTACTGTTCAAGCACATCAGCTGATAATGCAAGTTTTGAAAATAGTTGAAAAATGAGTATATGTTGATATTTTAGGACTAGAGTTTGGCTAGCTGGCAGCAAAAACCCTGGAGCATTTTAGCTTTTTTAGCACTAGAGGGAGCAGATTATTTTTTTGATAATCTTGAGTTTACAGGAGCTGCCAGCTTCATGTACTGTTATGTAATAAGCAACTCTCTATTTGAAACAAAGCTCTAATTTCATTACATATATTTTAGTAACCATCAGTAACCATCAAATAACTATGAATCAGCATTTCAGGGGTCTGATGGGATTCCGAAAATCCCAACATTGATTGCTAAATGAAGAATGACAAATGCATTAGTCTATAATTTGGTTTTTACTTCTTCTATGTATCGGTACTTGATAATTATCCCAAACATGTTGATGACAGTTTTTTATGGACATATTATGCATATCGCAGAAACAATTGTTGTTAGTTGTGAAGTCGTGTCCGACCCATCGTGACCCCATGGACAACGTTCCTCCAGGCCTTCCTGTCCTCTACCATCACCCGGAGACCATTTAAGCTCACGCCTACTGCTTCAGTGATGCCATCCAGCCACCTCATTCTCTGTCGTCCCCTTCTTCTTTTGCCCTCAGTCTTTCTCAACATTAGGCTCTTCTCCAGTGAGTCCTTCCTTCTCATTAGGTGGCCAAAGTATTTGAGTTTCATCTTCAGGACCTGGCCTTCTAAAGAGCAGTCAGGGTTGATCTCCTCTAGGACTGACTGGTTTGATCGCCTTGCAGTCCAAGGGACTCGCAGGAGTCTTCTGCAGCACCATAGTTCAAAGGCCTCAATTCTTTGGCGCTCAGTCTTCCTTATGGTCCAACTTTCACAGCCATACATTGCAGCTGGGCAGGAACAATTAACCACCTTTAAAAATATTTGGATTAAGATTCATTCTTTTCATCTGCATCAGATTTTCAGTGATGATTTAAATTTTCAGACAGTAAGAAGGTGGCAAGCCAGATCCTCCGTTCCTATTTTTTAGAGTGATCTATACGAGCAACTGATCTTGCCTCAGCTAATGATCCCTTCACAGGCCTCTTCATCTCTTGGCTGGCAAGAGGTGCCATGCAGTTCTTTTCAAATAGAGCCCTTCTGCTTAATCTTTGTTGCTATCTTGTCTTTAGGAGTTACGCAGTGATTAGGTGCTGCTTGTAGCCCTGTTGTAAGTCTTCCAGATCACAGTGAGCAAAATTAATGGTTAGTTTTAAAGGAGGATGCATTTATCAGCAGAGCTGCTCAGGAAAATAATCTTTGTTTTGGAGCATGGAGAAATTCTACAGAAATGAGGGGAAACACAAATGATCCTCAATTTACAAAAAGAGTTCATTTAGTTTAGTCACCATTCGAAGTTTACAACAGTACTGGAAAAAGTGGCTTATGAACGTTTTTCACACTTATGTCCGCCGCAGCATTCCCGTAGTCACACAATCAAAATTCAGAAGCTTCATAACTGGCTCATATTTATGACGGTCACAGCATCCCGGGGTCGTGTGATCCCCTTTTGGTGACCTTCTGACAAGCAAAGTCAATGGGGATTTTGTAGTATCCTTCCCTTGAAGTGGGGTGGAAATGGGGATTTTGCAGTAACCTTCCCCTGGAGTTGGGTGGGAATGGGGATTTTGCAGTAACCTTTCCCTGGAGTTGGGTGGGAATGGAGATCTTACAGTATCCTTCCCCTGCCACGCCAGCAAGCCATGCCACACCCACCAAACCACGCCTACAGACCGGTAGTAAAAAAATTTGAAACCCATCACTGAACTGCAGTGGTTAACAACGGTGGCAAGGAAGGTCATAAAATGGGGAAAAACTCACTTAACAATTGTCTCACTAAGCCACAGAAAGTTTGGGCTCAATTTATGGTCGTAAGGTTGAGGACTAACCCGTAGTTAAAAAGCAAATGTTCAAAGTTACTGGCAAAAATCAACATGTACTGAATTTTTAAACCACAACATGCTCCGCTCTGGATCAAGCTGTACTCTTTGGATTCAGAGTGACCCCTGCTAAAGTTAGTCAACACTAATGAAGCTTGATTGCCTGGCATTCTTAGCAGCTGGGAGACAGGATCATAAGAGTTAATTGTCTTTGGACAGACTGTGAGCTAGAGGCAATTTTCTGCATTATCAAGAGATCTGGAATGCAAAGAGTAGAGTTTCAACCTTGGCACCCTTCCAGCTGGCAGAGACGCCGGGAGGTCTTGCCAAGCAAAGGAGACTTTTAAAAAGGATGCACTCTTTTTCATTGCTGTGCCAAGGGCAATGAAAGTTACAGCACTGGGGCACCACCATAGGCATTTGTCCCAGTTTTCTTTGTTCTGGTTGATGCAGTCACCCATTCAGACAACTTTATTGTGCTCAGCAGGCATGCAAAAGTTCATTTGTTTTTAAACTTACTATAGCTATGTGCATCTGACATTAAATGGCACCTGACATTCTTCCTGTACCTATCAACCATTTTTTTTTTTCCAAATAACTGTGAACAGATTAAGGGTTTAGTCAGCTTTGATACTTCGGGCTGGAAGGGAGAATAGCTTCAGGCAGAAATTGGTAGGAACAATGTCTCTGTCAGAGGACATGTATCACTGTTCCTCCTCCTCCTCCTCCTCCTCCTCATTCGGTTGAATTGCCAGAAGATAAACCCTGACATAACTGTAGATTTGTCGGTCTAGACCAGAGGTCTCCAACCTTGGCAACTTTAAGACTTGTGGACTTCAACTCCCAGAATTCCTCAGCCAGCTTTGCTTTGAAGTTGAAGTCCACAAGTCTTAAAGTTGCCAAGGTTGGAGACCTCTGGTCTAGACTTCACTATTTCCCAGTTCTCTGCCTGTTTTGAGAGTTGAACAGAAAACATGGTACCTTACCACATTGTGTAGTGGCAGAAGATGTAATGTGGGGACTAGAGACTTTGTTGTTGAGTATTACGGCTCCAGGAACACACTTGCATCTGAGTATGAGTGGTGAGTGTATGAACAGTTAGCTCTTGGGAATACGTGTGTTGACCTAGGTGACTCTGTGCTCCACCCACAGGTATCTTCTGAAATGAAGTCCGTTTCATTTCACACATTTTTACACATTTTCTCTGTGTGGCTTGTTTTTAAAAGTTATCCAGTTCAGCAAAGCTTCCAATTATTAAAACAAAAACAGAAACAGAAAAGTAAAAATAAAACATATAACGCATGATAAATGGCAGCATATTAAAAGTATGTGCTTGCCCGCTGTCGTTACTTTGGCTAGATGGTAAGATTGATGACAATCAGTATGGATAATCGGGGTTTTTTTAAAAAAAAAATTTATTTAAAAAAAAAACAAATATAAAATATTCCATCTTTCCTTATTGCAGTGTGTTGTCTGGGTACATACATCTCTGTGCTACATCATTCATCATTTATCACATCTTTCACATTAACATTGATTTTATAATATGTTAAGTACATTACACATTTAAATATTGTAAAATTCCCCATTTTCTTCTTAGCCTCTTTCAATAATACTACCCTGTTAACATCAAATATCATTATTCTCTTCATACATATACTAACAATTTTCATCTTATTTATAACTCTTAATATATTTTGTCAGGGTATGTAGATTTAATAACTGTAAGCTGATGGAAGGTTGTAAGTGGAGACAACTGTAAGCTGATACAATGGGAATGAGGCAGCAGGGTTACTGCCACTTTAAGAAGCTGGGTAAGAAGCTGTCTATATAAGGGAAGCCATTAGAAGGCGTCTCCCTTCTCATGTTCTGTCTTGTGGTGTATCTCATTGCTCTCCTTGTGTCAGTAGCTGCATGATAAGATATTTACCACATATAAGTCTGTATATATTTAGCTGTAGATAAAACCACTGTTAATTTTCTAAAGGCTCTGTGTGCTGTGTGCTATGTATTGCTCCTGGGTTTATCCCGTAAACTCTGACATATTTTCTACTTATTTTTGGTCTCTTTCATTTCCAAGCTCCATTTTTATTCTCCAACCATTGATAAAATACTTCCCATATCATATTCAGTTTGCTCTTTATCTTTAATTGCTAACGTTAATCTATTCATTACTGCACATTCTAATATTTTCCCTTTCACCACCTCTTCAATAGGAATCTCTCCACTTTTCCAATGTTGTGCAAATACAATTCTAGCTGCAGTTAATACATGAATAATTAAATATACATCATCTTTATTATAGGTTTCCGGTAAAAGTCCTAACAGAAATATCTCTGGTTTCAACTCAATATGTTGTATCATCTCTTCCAATCAGGTCTTAATTTTTTTCCGGTACTTCTTTGCTTCTTCACATGTCACGTATGATAATAAGATCCCAGTAGTTGATGTCACTTCCAACATTTAGCTGATTTATCTTTAAACATCTTTGCCAACCTCGCCGATGGTAAATGCCATCTGTAAAACATCTTATACAAATACTCTTTATATGCTGTTGACATCATTAATTTATAATTCCTATCCCACAATTTCTGCCATTTATCCAATTCTATTGTATAACCAAAGTTTTTCGCCCGTGCTATGGTTGTCTCTTTTATTTGTTCCTCCTCCAATTTCATACCCAATAGATAATTATACAGTTTCTTTATTGCCCTCTCTGCTGTTCCTTAGGATTTTATCTAACTCTGTTAATTCTTTATAAAAGCCCTGTAATTTAACATCTTTCTCATATCTAGACTATATCTGCACATATGAATACCACATTATATCGATCCCTTGCTCACTCATTTCTTCTTTTGTTTTAAGTCCCCCATCTTCATTTAAAATATCTTTATATCTTACAATTTTTCCCATATTAATAATATTTGGGTGAATCAATGCTTCCATTGTTGAAAGCCAAACTGGTATCTTCACGTAGTGTTGTTCTTTAATTTTCTCCCACGCTAATAATCATAATGCATTCCTTATATAGTGTCTTTGAAAATATCCATGTATCTTATTTTTCCCATACCATAAACATGCATGCCACCCCAGTTGTAAATCATGTCCTTCCAAGGTCAATAGTCTTGTATTCCGCAGTACAATCCACTCTTTCATCCATGACAAAGTTGCTGCCTGATAGTACAGTTCCCAATTTGGTAGTCCAAAACCTCCTCTACTTCTTATATCCTGCATCATTTTCAAACCAATTTTGCTCTTTCCCTTATTATTATTTTGTTAAGCTCCTCAAAGTATTTCTTTTCCAATTTTATCGGAATTGTCTGAAATAGATACAATAATCTTGGCAGTATGTTCATTGTAATTGTTGCTACTCTTCCTACCAAAGATAATTGCAGGTTCTTCCACTTTTCCAGATAATTGGTTTTATTGTACGCTGCCCAGAGTCACCTTCTATGAGATGGGCAACTATATAAATTTGATGAATAAAAATACAATTATTAAGATCCCTAAAATTCAACATGAGTTTATTTTGGATTTGTGCATTAACATTCAGCATTCCATAATAGTCTACAGAGGCATCTAATCCTGTTTTTCATTGGTGCTATTAACATTAGGCAATAAATTATTGCAGACTCTTGGAACTTGCTCAGAATGAGGCACCTGGCACCTATCGCAATTACTTTCTTGAACGGAGTCAGAAAAGATTTGAATGCCCAGAATAATTAAAACCAAAAGCACGATAGAAGAAAACAATGTTAATGACCTTGCATAATGCAAGGAGGCAGGGTGCTACCCCTACTTTGAGGATGACATGCTCCACAGTATCAGCAGGTGAGCATTCTGGCCAAAGGTTTTGTGCAATGTTTCTTAACCTGGGCAACATTAAGAGATGTGGACTTCAACTCCCAGAATTCCCCAGTCAGCAATGCTGGATGGGGAATTCTGGGAGTTGAAGTCCACACCTCTTAAAGTTGCCAAGGTTAAGAAACACTGATTTTGTGGATTTCATATAGTAGATATGCATCCTCCTGCTGGCTGAAACTATCAAACCTAGCTCGCTAGAGAAGGCTTGAATGCTGAGAAAAGTGGAAGGAAAGGGAAGAAGAGGACAACCAGCAGCAAGATTGATGGGTTCAGTTACAGTGGGGATGAGTGATAGTTGGAAGACCTAAAAGACAGATTGTAATGGAGAGAATCAAAAATGAGTTGAAAAATGACTTGATCGTCCATAATCGGTCAAGTATGCTGTTCCAAGTAATGGAAGTAACAGTAGGTTTAATATTGTCGGATTGCAACATTCCAAATTCAATCATATTCTTGAATTTGTACTCACTTCCCCTTAAGCTTTTTTGTTGGTGGTGGTAAGAAAGTATTAGATGCTTGAAACAATGCATTCTGGAGATAAAGAACATAGATTTTAGCACTCATCAAGAAAGTTATGACAAGGGAGATTTCTAATGTCTGTTTCAAGTTTAAAAGTTCCATTTTGGTAAAACAGTGAGCTACCAGTTCCCCAGAACCTGCTGGATTTCATCCCTGGATTGAACTTTGCCCTGGTCTTGTGGCAGTCATGGAATATAATATTAGCATTGTCTTGGAGATAGCTCATAATCATTTTATGGCTCATTTAAAGTACACTTTGATGCTGTACAGATTGCAGAGTGTTGGCTTATATCCCCCATGGTATTTCTACATGTTGAAAAGAGACAGTGTTTATATAATGGTGAGATATTTCATGTGGAAATCATTAGCATCCTGCCTTTTAAGTATGTACAGACACTTTGGGTAGGACATCAGGAGAAATCCCTTGAAAGTACATAAGGTTTGATAGCAAAGACCATTCCCTAGAAGAATATGGAATTTTCCCCTCCCTGAACAAACAGAGACTGGACATGTTGTAAGGATATTCTAATTTTGGATTTCCTTCAGTCTCCTTTCATATATATATATATCTGAAATAGGAATGCAAGTCCTATATATATATATATACAGTGAAGTGTTAATACCACTTTATAATGCCTTGGTAAGGCCACCCTTGGAATACTGCATTCAGTTTTAGTCACCATGATGTAAAAAAGACTTCGAGACTCTAGAAAGAGTGCATAGAAGATCAACAAAGAGGATTAGGGGACTGGAGGCTAAAACATATGAAGAACGGTTGCAGGAATTGGGTATGTCTAGTCTGATGAAAAGAAGGACGAGGGGAGACATGATAGCAGTGTCCCAATATCTCAGGGGCTGCCCCAAAGAAGAGGGAGTCAAGCTATTCTCCAAAGCACCTGAGGACAGGATAAAAAGCAATGGGTGTAAACTCATCAAGGAGAGAAGCAACTTAGAACTAAGGAAAAATTTCCTGACAGATAGAACAATTAATCAGTGGAACAACTTGTCTCCACAAGTTGTAAATGCTCCAACACTTAAGAAGAGATTGGATAACCATTTGTCTGAAGTGGTGTAGGGTTTCCTGCCTAGGCAGGGGGTTGGACTAGAAGACCTCCAAGGTCCCTTCCAACTCTGTTATTCTATTTCTATTTCTAGACAGTCTATGTCAGGTTGAGTGACTTCGTGTTTCTGAACCGTCCCATGAAAAATAATCTTCCAGATGTTCTCATCAAATGAAAACGATGTAGGATGAAAAAAGGTGTATGGCTAAATTTTGTCGTTAGACCCTGTCAACACTTGGGTGCATGTGCATAAAATGGGTTCATGTTGAAAATGTAGTAAAACTCTGACATTATTTCAAGGGGTCCATTCATTTTGCTGATTTAACCAATTGTCACATTTCTTTCCTTACGGAGACAGATTAAAAGAACTACTCATGTACAAAACAAGTAATTATTTTAGAAAAAAGTTCAGTGTTTAACCAGGGGTGTCCAATCTTGGAAACTTTTAAGACCGGTGGACTTCAACTCCCAGAATTCTCAAGCCAGTCCTGCTGGTTGGGGAATTCTAGGAAATGAAGTCCACCAGTCTTAAAGGTGCCAAAGTTGGACACCCCTAGATTAAGCATTACTGTAAACACACCCGCAGAGTGATTAGGTTGTGTTTGGTCCTCCAGATGGTCTTTTGAATGAGGCTGTGGTGGTCCTTGACCGTCTCTTCTCCTTCCTCTTTTATGCCAGTTGTCATTCCAAAGACCCCGTTCCCGCCCCCTGACGTGATCTCCGAAAAAGGCACCATGCACAACACCACAAGGAGCATCCTGGAACATCTGCCTGGACAAAGAGGCCGCAAACCTGGTCGTAAAAGAGGCCGGACACCCAAGGTGCTGACCAGCCACCCCAACCCCAACCCTTCCAAGGCAGTGGAGCCTTTAAAATTCCCCAAAAAGAGGGGGCCAAAGCCTGGTGGGAAGGTAGGTGGTCAATGTGCAGGGCTGAACTATCGAACATAAGCCCTCCCTCTTTAATATGGCCACTGCAAGAAGATTATTGTATGTCCAACGATGGAAGAATAATGTTTGCTTGCTGATTACTCCAACTTTATTTTTTATAAATAACTCAGGATGGCAAACATATATAATATTCTTTCCTCCTCCTAATTTTCCTACAACTCTTGTGAGGTGGGTTGGAGTGAGAGGGAGTGACTGGCCCAAAGTCACCTAGCTGACTTGCATTCCTATTGCAGGATTAGAAGTCACAGTTTTCTGGTCCAAAGTGAGCCATCCGGCTTTCATGCCTAAGGCAAGACTAGAACTCGTGGTTTTCTGGTTTCTAGATCAGCACCTTAACCACCAGACCAAGCAATTAATTAAAAACATTGGATTAGATACAATATACTTTTCGTGTACTCCTCACTTGCTACCTTAAAATAAACTGGAAGGACTCCCCACGATTGAAACCTTTGAAAGAGCTTTAATTTTAAAGCTGAGCAGGCCGTGGACTGGTCAGGATTTGTGTAGGCTGCTTTCAAGCTCCGTAGAGGAAAAGCAGGAAGCAAAGGCAGCCAAGGCGACTGCTTAAAATCTTTGTCGCCGCTATAAATCACAATTTTTATGCCAGTCCCCATGGTGGTTGCTGATGACTCAAGCCATTTTTCTCGCTCGTTAGGCTTCGTACACTTCTGTCACAGGGATACCATTTCCTCTTTATGTTCCTGAGAGCCTATCCTTGATGCAGTAATATCAGTTCTTGTTGTGACTAGGCCCAAGTAGTTATTACCAGACACAATCAGTCCTAAACAAACCTATTTTATTAGAACAGCTGAGAATTACTTCATTCTGAGTTTAGTCCAGATTAATTCCAGAAAAAGTCCTCCGGCCTTATCACAAACCTTTAACTTCTTTGGCACTCTGCCAAAGACTTTTCTTGGCAAAGCCCCACAAACACCAACAAGAAACAAATGTAGCAACATTGCTTTTCTTCAAAGAACCCAAGAGCGGTTGCTGCTCTTTTAAACCTTCTGGGAGGGGCCAATAATCTCCTGGCCTTTCTCCTGAGTTGTCCTCTTTGCTTGAGCTGCTCTTGTCTTCTGCCTTCTTCTCATGCGTGCATTAGGAACAGGCTCCTCCTGTTTCTCTGCCTCTCTGCTATCAGCCTCTGGAGGCTCTGGAGTCTGTGCATCACTCCCCGATGGCCCTGGCCCCATCTCTGCCTCCGATGCAGAGCCCTTGTCCGGACCTTCCCCTGACTCCAGGGCTGGCCCATGTTCCTCCCCAGCCTCCTCACTGTCCGACTCCGCTGCCAGCTCCTTAGGCTGCTGGCGGACCACAACAGTTCTGAACAACTTCTTCCTTTTTACCTAGTAGACTTTGTTCCTCCATTGAAAGCCATTGGGACTTTTTTTTTTTTTCTTTCTTGCAGCGAAAGCAGCGAATGTTACTCAATCCAGCACCCACTTCCCCGACAACTAGCACTCCTGAGCCTGACACAAGTACGGTACCACAAGATGCAGCTACTATTCCCAGTTCTGCTATGCAGGCCCCTACAGGTAAGGAACGGCCTCCTATTAATTCTGAAAGTTCCTGCTATCTTCTGAGAAAAGCCTTAAAAAAACTGGGCTCCTCCCACAGGCAGCTTGCTGGGATGATTAGGGAACGCATGGCAATGGCAATGTATTTTTTGAGTTTTCTCTTCCTCTGGTGTGGCTGTTCTACTATCTTGATTTTATAATTTATTACAGTATCTTGAAAGGGACACGATGGCTCAGTGACTAAGACGCTGAGCTTGTCGATCGAAAGGTCAGCAGTTCGGCGATTCGAATCCCTAGTGCCGCATAACAGAGTGAGCTCCCGTTAGTTGTCCCAGCTTCTGCCAACCTAGCAGTTCGAAAGCACGTAAAAAATGCAAGTAGAAAAATAGGGACCACCTTTGGTGGGAAGGGAACAGCGTTCTGTGCGCTTTTGGCGTTTAGTCTTGCAGACCACATGATCACGGAATTGTCATCAGACAGCGCTGGCTTTTCAGTTTAGAAACAGAGATGAGCACTTCCCCCTAGAGTCGGGAACAACTAGCACGTATGTGCGAGGGGAACCTTTATCTTTACCTTACAGTATCTTGACATTTTCAAATTCATGCTCTTTGTAAGACACCTGGAGTCATTTAGCACTTGGATGGAATTAGAAATTGAATAAATGAACAAATATATAAATGAATGACAAACCCAACGAAGGAGATTTTTTTTTTGAAAGTAGCAACTTCATACAAAATAGCTAGGACAAAAGAATAATTATCCAGAATAATTCTTTTCTTGAGTCTTTACGTTGTGTTCATGTAACTGGCATCAAACTAGAAATACTGGAGTGCTTTGTGGCTGACCTGTTTAACCACAATTTCTCCAGGAATTAATGAGACAGTGTTTGAAGGTGAATTCCTCAGCATGTAAAAAGGAGAAGAAAATATATCTTCCTTGCAATCTCATAGACTAGAAAACATTGTTTTAAAAGAGCCATTTTGTATTTACACATGTTCAGGCATTAGGAATAAATCAACCAATTAAGGATAAATCTTCACTATTGTAAAGGAGCAGGATCTGAATGTTTGACATGCGCTGAACAATCCATTTTGCGAGTGTTAAAATGTCTCTGTTAGAGCCTGCTGAATGGATTCCTAAACATAGCTATGTATGATCACTCACCCCGAAGAATCTTCAGGAAACCTGCACAATTAAAAGGGGCAAGGCTGTTGCAGATACAGGTGCAATACTTTTCATTTAGTTCGCCACAGAGGGATGCTGGATGAAGGAATTCTGGGAACTGAGGTCCACACATCTTAAAAGTTGCCAAGGTTGAGAAACAGAGCACATTTCTGCTGCTTGAGTCTCAGCCTCTCATCTTCACGGTTTATTAAGCAGCTTTTGGCAAATTAAATTATATAACGGAGGAAGAGAGATTAAGGGACTGTTGCCTGATCCAGAGTTTACAAGACATTTATCTCTGCTTTTTTCAAATTTAAGCATTGAAGGCTTCTAATGTGTTTGCTTCTCCTTTCTCTACTCTGTTTCTCCCCCCCCCCCCCCCCCCCAGTTTGCATCTACTTGAATAAAAACGGTAGCCCCGGGCCTCATCTGGACAAAAAGAAAATCCAGCAATTGCCTGACCATTTCGGTCCGGCTCGAGCGTCCGTAGTCCTGCAGCAAGCAGTCCAAGCTTGCATTGACTGTGCTTACCACCAGAAAACTGTCTTCTCATTCCTTAAGCAAGGCCACGGAGGAGAGGTTATTTCAGGTAACACTCACGTTGATCTGTCCTGCTTTGTTGGGAAAATATCTCCGGGGAAGTATGTCTGCTAGCCGTGAGGTTCTAATAGTAGCAATGCAACATCATGTGCTTTGGAGCAAGAGTGGGCAACTGTGGCTACCTTTACAGCCTGTGGACTTCAAGTCCCAGAATTCTGGCTGCCTCGGGAATTCTGCGACTTGAAGGCCACAAATAGTAAAGGGATTGTGATTGCCCACCCCTGCATTGGAGTAATGTCCTAGTCCAGGGGTCTGCAACCTTAAACACTCAAAGAGCCATTTGGACCTGTTTCCCATAGAAAAAAAACACACCGGGAGCCACAAAACCTGGGAGGGCGTGGCCAACTGGATGTCACTCACTCCCACCCAGTCACATGACCCTCCCCCCTCCTCCTCCTTAAGCGCCCGCCCACCCCGTGTGTCCTTTTCCTGTGCTTTGGCACTCACTTGAGGAGGGTCTCCCCGCACATGCGCACGCTCTCAGCTCAGCCAAAGCTGGCCAGGGGGTCACGAGAGGAGGAGGAGGAGGGTCGCACGAAGGGAAGCCTCCGCCACGACCGGCGATCGTTCCTCAGCCAGCCCGGATTTCCAAAAACATCCAAAAAAGAAAAAATGGGTGGGGGGCAAGGGGCCAACCACTGACAGGACAGAGAGCCACATCAGAGGGCCCAAAGAGCCGCATGCGGCTCCGGAGCCACAGGTTGCCGACACCCGTCCTAGTCTAATGGAGTAACGTTCTAATTTATTCTGGCTGAAACATTGAAGGCATTTTATTAGACTGAATGACAAGCAGACAGCAGGAAGGGAGAGGATTTGAGTTTTGCTGGTCATCTCTGTAACATTTTTATATATTTGGCTTTGTTGGTTTCCTCCTTCAGCTGTGTTTGATCATGAGCAGCACACACTAAACTTACCAGCAGTGAATAGCATTACTTACGTCCTCCGTTTCCTTGAGAAACTTTGCCACAACCTGCGTAGTGACAACCTCTTTGGGAACCAGCCCTTCACTCAGCACCACATGCATCATTCCAGAGAATACGACCATGACAAATACCTACCAGGTAAGGATTGGGGCGGAGAGCTTTCGTGGAAATCTCTGCAGATGGAGTACAGTGTTTCCCCAAACAGATTCCAAACCAGTTGTCCAGCATTCATCATTTTGAACCTATTCCTACCACCTGCCTATTCTTGTGTGCACCTTTTAAACTTGGAGCAAAGCTATACGGGTAGTTCTCAACTTACAACCGTAACGGAGCCCACCCATTTCAGTTGTAACTCACAACTCAGTCATTAAACAGATCACCCACATGAGTGACCTCCTGTTACTACCTTTTTTGCAGCCATCATTAAGCAAATGCCATGGTCCAAAAGTGGCCATTGGAATCTTAAAGCAAACACCGTAGTTGTAAAATGAACCCATTGTTTGCTATGGGGCATTTTTTTTTTCCTGAAAACCAGACGTAAATGCTAGTTTTAGCAAAAATGTTGTAAAACGTGCTGCAGTGCAATTTGGTTGCTGAGTATTTGACATGTAGTCACGTAACTTTTGGAAGGGAGGGGTGTTCCTGTTTTCCAGTCTGAACTTTAGAATCAGGTCATAAAATACCTTTGGCGGAGTCCGTCATAACTTTGAATGGTTGCTAAGCAACGAGTCGTAAGTCAAGGACTATCTGTATGCATTTTATGTTACCTGATACAGCACAGAACGTATTGATAGGGCCTTTCCTTCTAATGATATTATTTAAGTGCCTCAGATTCTATGTTCCAAGTACGTTACCTGAGACAAAAATACGATGACAGACTTACTATTGTTCATGGGTTGTTGGTGACGACAATAATATGGCAGATAGCTCACTTGAAAACTAAAAAGCAATGTGTTATAATAAAAGTTTGATTGAATAGACCAGTATTGAATAGACCCAGGTGGGGAGAGTGCCGATTACTCCTAGTATCTGTGGAAATGGAAGTTTACCTCATTCATTGCGATTATTTCATTTGTATCACTTGCATCATTAGCATAAATATCCAAACTACTTCAGATGCCATAAATTTGTCAGTTATTTCAGGAGAATCTCTGGATGGAAATTTGTTGCATCCAAAATCCATTAAATTGGGGTTCCATTAAGTTGAAGTTTCACTTTATTTATCTTATTTTTGAACAACTTTAAGAAAAGTAATGCTTGCCCTCAAATTCCTTTTGACATGTCAAAGATGTGGTATGTGAGTTTTTGAAATAAGGTGGGTGTGAGTTTCCCATTTGTGACTTGACATAATACTTGAGGATTATATTACTAGAATGACTTGGAGATATCACATTTGACCAGTTGAGGTGGCCAATCATCATATACCCAGGCGCTATATATAGGTTGTATAATATTATTGATTTGTTCCTTTTTATCATATTGTTATTGATCCATCTTACAGCGATTCAAATGTTCATGACTGAGCCATTTCTGATTAGAGCAGCCAATAATTCCAGTAAAAATAAAATAAGATTAGAACAAGTATGGTTTCATTACATAATATGAAAAAGATGGGGATTGCATTTTTTGTATATCTGAAATTCACAGAAGATACTAAATTAATTTAGAGAACCACTGGTAAATTTTAAACCTAATTAATCAATTTCTTGGGGTGTGTGGTCCCATATGTTTTAATACCAACCAGTGCCAGTCTTAAGAAACTTGGGTTAGAAAAGTAGACATTGCATGAAGAAGGAAATGTTGAATATTTTGTAGCTTTTTTGTGTATTTTAATATTGAGCTTTACATGATTTTCACAAATAGCTGTCTTGGCATTTAGCTTCATATTCTGAAGCTTACCCAGTCAGCCAAACAAACGGCTCTGAAATTTCCCTGCGATGAGCAAAAATACATTTAAGAATCACTTTGAAAAGCACCACTGCGAACAATCAAGGAATAATGATGTGCAGGAAGCTTGAAACCAGCAATGGCACAAAACAACTGAGGGGATCAAATTAACGATAAAGAGGCATTTTGTCATTCCCCAACTCTATTAAGACCATGCAGTAGAGTCCCCATCTCTGGCATAAGAATTAAGATACACGGGAAATGGTACACCCATATTTCAGTTAGGAGAACAAAAAGACTTTTTTTAAAAAAATTAAAAGCTCTCCAAAGGAAGCAATTATTCACCCTGGAAATGCTACTTGCCCCTTTCATAAAATTCCCCAATTATTGTACAGAACCAATAAATGAGATGGTTGGTTACACCCAGAGTTTTCAAAATCATCCTTCAGTTCGGCAATGCAGCTGTTTCTGCTGGTGGAATTATAGATGCTGGTGTAAGCTATTTGGAAGAAGAAAAAGAATCTTTATGGCAGCCAATGAGCAGGCCATGTAGTATGGCAATTCTGCCGATACGAGGCGGAACGTCCGTTTCCCAAAGAAGGTGTGCTGATCTTAAGCAGAGCTTGTTCTCTCTTCCTAGACAGGAGCATTTCGTTAGACGGCTCTCTGCTGGGTCCAGGCCGGGGTACAAAGAGGTATTCCCAAGAGTTCCTTCCATACAGTGCTCCTCTCTCCCCCAAGTTACCAAAGAATGACCATCACCCTTTGGAAGGTGAGCACAGCCTCTTTTCCCAGCCTCGCTGATATTATTCCTTTAACAAGCAGCATAGGTTGACGCTCATGTCCGCGTCCTACTTCTAGCTCAGCTGCGCGCTGTAGACATGGCCTTCTACTCTTCTTTTTCAAGCAGGATGGCAGACAGTGGGCCACAGCAAGGAAGCACATTTCCTTCCTTCCTTCCTTCCTTCCTTCCTTCCTTCCTTCCTTCCTTCCTTCCTTCCTTCCCTCTAACAGCTCCTTAATCCCTGTGCTCCCTATTATCTGTGCATAACTATAAGAACAAAAGCCATCTATAAATTTAAATTACCAGAACGGAGGTTCTTTCTACACTTTATAGCAGTAGCAATAGCACTTCGACTTATATACCACTTCACAGTGCTTTAAAGCCCCCTCTAAGCGGTTTGCAGAGTCAGCATATTGCCCTCCAACAATCTGGGTCCTCGTTTTACCGACCTTAGAAAGATGGAAGGCTGCGTCAACCTTGAGCCAGTCAAAATCAAACTACTGGCTGTTGGCAGAGTTAGCTTGCAATGCTACATCCTAACCACTGCGCCACCGTGGCTCTTCCAGCAATCACAATATCCTGAAATAAAATATCAGCCTCTCTTGTCCCCATACAAGACATTATTCGGTTGTGTTCAGATGGACACAATGCCTTTCGATTCTTGCATGTGATCAGTTCTACCATTTCTGTGAAGATGGGGTGAATGATCTTCTCTAGCACAAGCTTATTTCTCAGTGCAAGCAAGCACAGGAAGGATCTTCTTGCAAGACATTTCGTAGGCTGAAGATGAATGTTCAGTTCCCATCTGACGTTTATGCCTACTGGTTTGTAAGGCAAAATTAGGCCTGTTGCCCCATGAATTTTGGTCACTATTTCTTATCCATGATAACTGCATGGAACGTCTTTCTTATGCCCTTTGAATACCAGTTGTTGAGGACAACAACAATGCCTTCATATTCTAGTGAGCTTCCCAGATAGCATCTAAGGACATGCTTGGGAATAGGATTCATGGCTGGATGGAACAGGTCTCTGAACTCGTTGAACTCTTAGTTCATGTTGTTTCTTTGTTTACTAAGACAAGTAAGTGAGCCCTCAACATCCATAACATCTGGCTTCTTTGAGAATCCCGTCAGCTTCTGCCAGACAAGTAATCTCTTGCTTGCCACTCATGGCAAGTAATTTCTTCTTAGTAAAAAAAGGTTTCTTCTCATTTATGAATGGGTGTTGCCATATGACAATGGGCACAGAAGCCTTTGCAACTGTTTGGGGAGGGAAAATAGTACTTTCTTATGCTTGCAGTAATTTGCCTTGCTTTCAGTAGAAAAGTGCCAGGAAAGCAGAACCACACTTGGAATATTGCCATCCAGTTTGGGTCGCCACAATATAAAACAGATGTCGAGGCGTGGGAAAGAGTGCAGGAAGAGCAACAAAAGTGATTAGGGGACTGAAGGTTAAAACATCTGAAGAACGGTTGCAGGAATTGGGTATGTCTAGACTGATTAAAAGAAGGACTAGGGGAGACATGATAGCAGTCTTCCAATACTTGAGAGGTTGCCACTAAGAAGAGGGCTCGTCCTAGTCTCCAAAGCACCTGAAGGCAGGACAAGAAGCAATGGATGGAAACTAATCAAGGAGAGAAGAAACCTAGAACTAAGGAGACATTTCCTGACAGATCAGTGGAATGGCTTGGCCCTAGAAGTTGTAGGTGCTCCATCACTGGAGGTGTTCAAGAAAAGATTGGACAGCCATTTGTCTGAAAAGGTATAGGGCCGTGATGGCGAATCTATGGTACGTGTGCCATAGGTGGCATGCGGAGCCATATCTGTGGGCACAAGAGCGTTGCTCTAGCTCAGCTCCAGCATGCATGCGCGCACCGGCCAGCTGATTTTCAGGCCTTCCGGGCCCACCAGAAGTCAGGAAATGGGCCGTTTCCGGCCTCTGAGGAGTGGGGGGGCGTTTTTGTCCTCCCCAGGCTCCAAGAAAGCCTCTGGAGCCTGGGGAGGGCAAAAAACGGGCCTACTGGGCCCACTGATAACTTTTTTGTCGTCGCATGCCAAAAGCAGGGGGAGCGTGGGGGGGCATTGAATTATGGGTGTGGGCACACACACACACACACACACACGACCCTCCCCCCGCGACCCCCCGCTTTTTGCACACAACGGCAAAAAGCTTAGCCATCACTGGTATAGGGTCTTGAGGAGAGGGTGTCACTAGAAGATCTCTGATTTCCCTTCCAATTTTGTTGTTCTGTATGCCAAAGGGGAAGTTTGTATGGACTGTGGCTTGTTTTGCTATGTTTAAAAGCTGATGATGAGCAGCTCAAGTAAGGTGTGAATTTATTTTTTTTAAAGTGACTTGAACTTATCTCATTAGCTGAACCATGAACAGACTCTGACGCCATTGGGTGACCAATGTGCGACATTCCCTTGGGGATGTTTTAAAGACGATACCATAGCCTGGCGGATCAAAATCTCTCACACAGAAGATGTGAGGGCTCCATGGCGTATGTGGTCCAGAAGCATTACTGGCACAAGCTGTTCTCTGCATCCTTCGTGTAGCGTTGAATCAACAGCAGCACATGAGAAATGGCTGCTTGTTGGAATTTGGCTTGAATGTTTCACTGCTGGACTTCAGGGTTTTTGGAGAGTTTCTTCCTTAAACCACAATTTACTTTCCTGCCAGAAAGTGACCCCCAGGGGGAGGGCCTTCTCTGTGGGGGCACCTACCTTCTGGAATCAGTTGCCCCCAGAGATAAGGAGAATCCAAGACCTCAGTGCCTTCCGCCATGCCCTTAAAACCCACTTTTTCCAGCAAGCCGGGCTGGCTTAAGAAGAAATTTTTAAATGTTTTAATTGGTTTGTGATTTTTAATTTTTGGGCCAAATTTATATATATTTTAACTGTTTTTTAATATTTGTATTTCATGTTCTTAATTCTGGCTGTACACCGTCCTGAGTCCTCAGGGAGAAGGGCGGTATATAAATTGGAAAAAAATAAATAAATAAATAAATAAGGAAATGAGGAATTGGGTGCCAGATAATCCTCCATATTTATTCTGTCCAAGAGCTAGCACCCGAGGACAAAAAAGCAGCACTATTTACATGAAGGAATGTCTAGCTCAGGGGTCTCCAAGCTTGGCAACTTTAAGACTTGTGGACTTCAACTCCCAAAGCTGGCTGAGGAATTCTGGGAGTTGAAGTCCACAAGTTTTAAAGTTGCCAAGGTTGGAGACCCCTGGTCTAGATAGCTTCCTATTTCAAAAGAAAAAGAAAAAGCAGAACCAAAGTTATAGGATTCTTGGTGCTTTTGTTTTAATGCAGCCCTGCCATAACATGCCTAGGGAATGCTAAGATGGTCTCCTTTAGCAAGAAAAGGCTTGGCCTTTCCACTGCATTGGCTGGTCAAAGAAATCTCAGGGGTTCTCCAGGATGAACGCATCTACTGTTTTCCATGCAGAAGAACTTCTAGGACATGAAGAGAATGACTGAACTTGGTTACGTAGGGAGAATAGCAATAGCACTTAGACTTATATACTGCTTTTACAGGGCTTTTACAGCCCTCTCTAAGCAGTTTACAGAGTCAGCCTATTGCCCCCAACAATCTGGGTCCTCATTTTACCCACCTCGGAAGGATGGAAGGCTGAGTCAACCTGAGCCTAGTGAGATTCGATCTGCCAAATTGCAGGCAGCCGGCAGGCAGCAGAAGTAGCCTTCAGGTACTGCATTCTAACCACTGCACCACCGGTGCTCGAAAAATTATCTCGAAGAACTTGATACAAAGCGGCGAACGTAATTCCCCCTCCCCAACTTTCTAGCTGAGTAAATTTGCTCCACGTTGCTGTTGACTTACAACTTGAAATGTTTTGTGTACACGCAGCATCATCGCTGTTGCTTGCCTCTCTCTCACCAGTTGCTTTTATGTCTTTCAGGTGAAACCTTTGTCTTGAATGATAGTCTCCCTGGTCCTCTGGAGCCTCGCTTGGACCCGATCGACTCGGCCTTGAATGCCGTTAGCGTGTCCAGTCCCATTCGGAACTCAAGGGACTTCCGACTTCAGGGATACCGACACCTTCATCAGCCCTCCAGCCTCACTCAGTGCAGTACCCCTGCTGGGCATAGGCTGAGTGCTGGGGGTAAGAGACCTCAAAACCCTCCTTCTATGAAGCAGTCTAGCTTTACCTTTGTCCTACTAACAGGGGGGCAGGGACTTCATGAATCTTGGGCAGTAAGCAGTACTCCTTCCCCCCTCCCCAAGTTTTTTATTTTTTATAAAGATATCAAACAAGTACATGGAACACTGTGGCACCTGGGTGTCATACATTCTAATACACATAAAACTAATCAGGTTAATCATAATAATTACATTCAATCCGCTTATATATTTCTAATAATAATAAAAGGTAAAGGTTCCCCTTGCACATATGTGCTAATCGTTCCCAACTCTAGGGGGCGGTGCTCATCTCCGTTTCAAAGCCGAAGAGCCAGAGCTGTCTGAAGGCGTCTCTGTGGTCATGTGCCCAGCATGACTAAATGCCGAAGGTGCACAGAACACTGTTATCTTCCCACGAAAGTGGTCCCTATTTTTCTACTTGCATTTTTTACGTGCTTTCGAACTGCTAGGTTGGCAGAAGTTGGGACAAGGAACGGGAGCTCACCCCCATTACACGGCACTAGGGATTCGAACCGCTGAACTGCCGACCTTTCGATCGACAAGCTCAGCATCTTCGCCACTGAGACACCGCGCCCCTTCAATAATACAAACTTGTATTAAGTTATACTCTGTCACTGTTCAATTATTCCACGTTTTCTCTTGTTATTGCTTTCATTTTATGATATAAAAATGTATACACTAATATTCCCCCTTCTCTTATTTCGATCACTTATTCTAGCTTTTAATCATATCAAGAGATGATGGATGGATGATTTCTCTGTTGTTGTTCTGAGTTGCTTTTCCTTTTCTCTCTCTCTCTCTCTCTCTTTTCCTCTTTTCTTTTTTTAGGTAAGTGACATGATTAGAAGTTAGATAAGAAAGAAAGAAAAAGTCTCTTAATAAAGGGTGATATGATTAAAAGCAGTAAGCGACACGCCTATTATCCCTCTAGAAGCATTTGGTGCAAATATAGGCAGTCCCCGATTTACTACAGTTCATTTAGGGACTGTTAGAAGTTACAGTGGCACTGAAAAGTGACTTATGACTATTTTTCACATTTATGATCTTTGCAGCATCTCCATGGTCACATGATCAAAATTTGAATGCTTGGCAACTGACCCATATTTATGATGGTTATGGTATCCCGGGGTCATGTGATCCCCTCCTGACAAGCAAAGTCAATGGGGAAGCCACTTAATAACTGTGTCACTAACTTATCAACTTGCAGTGATTCTAACAACTGTGGCAAGAAAGATCTCCACTCCCTTTTTTCCAACCACTGGTAAAATAGATACCATGTTTGATAATATTCTGTATCTTCTCTCTGTTTAAATTTCAATGTAAGTCTATCCATTTCTGCACAATCTAGTTTCTTCCTAATTATCTCTTTGTCTCGCGGTGTTTCTTCATTTTTCCAATGTTGTGCAAATATAATCCTTGCTGCTGTTAAGACATCTTCTTCTTGTGCCCTATCCGTCATCGGACGTTGACGATCATGTTGGCAATCCTATTTTTGCCAACAGCTGCATGAAAAAGGGCTGCTGAGTTTTATCCAAACCGGTCCCTTAGATTTTGAAGCCAGGATCATCATCTTCTGCCTGGACCTCGTTTGCCTTCAATCTTTCCCTGGAGGATTAAGTGAAGGATGCTGTATTTTTCTGAGTGTCACATCACATCTCCAAAATATTCTAACTTTTGCTTTTTAATGGCTTTGATGATTTCCTTTTGCTTTTCCATGTTAAGACATGCAATATTAAACATATAGTTTGCTTCTCAAGTTTTTCTGGTATTATGTCTAATAGAAATTCAGGTTTAAAATCTACATGTTTAGAAATCGCTACTTCAATAGCATGGCTCCCTGAGCTTCTGCAGCACCAGGCTTTATTTGTATTTATTCATTGTGCCCTTAGGCTCTGACAGATACCTGAGTTCTCGAGATACTTCAAGGTTGGGTACCCGGGATCCCTCTGCCTGGACCGTAGAAGATGTCATGCAGTTTGTAAGAGACGCTGACCCCCAGCTGGGACCCCATGCAGAACTCTTCCGAAAACACGTAAATATGACTTCAGGGTCATCAGACTTGGCCTGGGTAGTACTTTCCTCCTGATGGAAGTGCTGCCACCCAACATACTGTTCCTGCTGATGAGGCAGCATTTAAAACATTATTAATAATTCTGTGAGGCTTGTTTCCCTCTGAGAAGGTCAGGGTCTCTCAGTGACACACTGAGGAGGCAAAGCTTTGGCACCTTCCAACACTAAACAGGTGTCAGGTTTCGAGGTCGTCTCAAATAAATTGCATTTCAAGCAAAGTCTTTGATGAAAAACTCCCATTTATTAAGCACGACATTCTAACGCCAACTCCATCGTAGCCAACACTGACTTCCTGACCCAAAACCCTCCCTTTCCTTTCCCCACCTCTCTGCACTCATTGGCCATCTTCCAAGTCACTCTACCTCTAATCTACTGCTCCAGCTCAAAGGAATTTCCCCCCTCCCATCCCATCTCCTAGGGGATATTATCTCCAGGGAAAATAAGTAGGTGAAAAGTCAAACGTCCCTTTCCAGACGCCTCCGCTTCTCCTTCTTATGTCAGCACTAGAGTAAATGCAGCTTGAAGTGCTGACAACAGGTTTATTTGGGCAATGTAGGATGAATATATCTGACCATCAAACTTAGCATAAGAATTGAAGTAGAGCAGGGGTGTCAAACACAAGGCCCACAGGGTGCATAGATCTGGCTTGCAGGGCCACCCTGGAAACAGCAAAGGACTGGCCCGCGGTGCCTCTGCCAGCAAAAATGGAGCATGCAGCCGTCCCGAGCTCCATTTGTGCTGGCAGAGGGTTGCAGGAGGCCATCGAAGCCGAAAACGGAGCTCGTTTTTTGCTGTCAGAGCGCTCAGGCCACCACAGATGCCCCCAACACGAGTGATGTTGAGCTGGCCACGCCCACCCTGGCCACACTCACCTTGCCCCCCCCCGAGGGCCCCCCACAACCCTGCGGCCCTCAGTGAAATCAAGTTTGACACCCCTGAAGTAGAGAGACAGACTAATACAGCACAGATGTAAACAGCTGTTCCCAGGAGCTTTACTTGAAGAGTCTTATAAAAAGGCTGAATTCCACTTGTAAAGACTTTTCCCCAAGTAGCTAAGAAAGAAGCCAACCCCTAAGCCTCTAATCTCCATGTAAAGCTCATGCCAATGAAGGGGTTTTGATAAGTGTCACTCCTAACGTCAAGGCACGTGAAAGAAATTCTTTTTTCTATGCAACCGGGGTTTCAAAACGGGGCAGCCCAGTAATGTATTTATCTCATAGATTGGCAGTCGCCCTAATCCAGCCTCTTCTTACTTCTGGCACAGCACAAAACCTGCCTCTTTCTGCTCTATGCCTACAGGAGATTGACGGCAAGGCCTTACTCTTGTTGCGAAGTGACATGATGATGAAGTACATGGGCTTGAAACTGGGGCCAGCGCTGAAACTCACCTACCACATTGATAAGTTGAAACAGGGCAAGTTCTGAAAAAAGACTCTTCCTGGGACAATCATTGGCCCTCTCAGCTCTCCGCGAAAGGCACGTAAGACACGTGTCCCCCTTCTGCAGCCACCGCGTCCACGGAATCACTAGGACACCTTTCTTAACCAGCAGAAGAAAGGTGACTTCCTGCAGGAGGAAGGTCCTACGCATCCCGAATCATCGTACGAAGCTTCAGGTGGACTCTCACAAAAAAGGGAGAAGTTTCCTCAGCTCTCCACTGGTGGCCTCTGGGACCGTATCTGACAGGGGCGAGGATGCCTCCGGTGGGCGGAGCTGTGGCAGGGCCGCCCTTGCATTCGACTCGGCTGTTTTGGCCCGTCTCTTTTGATCACAGCCTCTTCTTTTGCTGCTCTCTTCGAGAAGCCTCTTCATGCAATGGGAGGAGGACGTCAAGAGGTCACTTTTCTGTGCCCTGCAGAAGAAACTCGGTAGAAGAAGCCACCTGAGGAGGACAAGCGGCTGCTGCTCTCCAGATGATGCACTCCCTTGGGTGCAGGAGTGGGGTGGGAGTTTTGGCAGGAGCCCTATCCAGCAAGCTGCACTCCCTGCCTGCAGATCTCACTTCTTACTTCTCACTTGGTGCTGTTAATCTCTTCCTGTATCGAGGACTCAAGCTGTTCCCCCTCCACACACACACACACAAACCCACACACATATTGCTGGCTGATAGGCAGACAATTCTTCCTATTTATTTTGACACAAGCAGCGGCTCTGCGTTTGTGTTGTTTACCATTCCAACACTACAAGGGAGCCGGGACGGTGGAAGGCATGTGGTCCTATACTGAAGTGGCACAGAGCATAACAACTAAGCAACAAACCACCCCCACCCCCCACTCCCCCTCACTCCTGCCCTGCAGCTTGAACGTTTTCTACTGGCTCTCGAGATGGCAACCATTTTAACTTTTCCTCTGGGTAGTTCGACATCTCCTCTTCTACCGTGGTACCATTTAATATATCTCCCACTTCACCCTGGCAGAATTTTCTCGATAGCTAGCTAGCTAGCTACCTACCTACCTACCTACCTGGCGGGCAGGTAGGATAGCAGAGAGATGCAGAAATGCGGCTCCTTTTTTTCACGTCGGTCCACCAATTTCAGTAGCAAAACCTGAATCGTATGTGTATGCTGGAAAATAATGTATTTATTTTTATGGCACTTGAGTGGATGGTCCCCATTGTCCTGTAGTTAGAGAGGTTTTGCTGCTGGCAGGTGAGAAGAGAAGGAGGAGGAGGCCATAACCCGGTGCCCCACAATTCTGCTTTTTCTCCAGGTCCTCCACTGAGGTGTGCTTTGTGTCTGGAAAGCAAGTATGTGATGCTTTTTATAAAAAAAAAAAAATCCTTCAGAATAACCATAGCAGCTTGTTCTTTGGGATGCAGACAAATGAATGCTTGAGACTCAGTTGCCCATGGCTGTTCGCCTGCTCTGATTCCTGAACTGGGAAAAAGGGTTAGGCAAAGGTACAAGCCTTTCATAGCATTTCTTTCTGCCCAAGTTACACACCCCGCCGCTCCTTCCCGGGGCCGCTTCTTCCTCTCCCAAACACTTCCGGAAGAGAAGCTCAGAAGGCAAAGCAAGAGGGCCTCTAAAACAAAAGAATGAAAATTCACAGGCAATAAACCAATTCCAGAAAGGAGGATCCAGCAGTGACTGTGACGTGCTGGAATGGTGCGACTCGGTCACCATCTTGGTTGTCCAGTTTAGCCCCTCCCCCCCCTCCCCCCTCCCCCGGGGCAGGCCACCTGTTTCTGCTATTACTGCCTGGTTGCAGAATACCGTTTCTGTAAGCACTGCCTACGGCAGGTAGCAGGAAGAATCCTGCCAGTGTTCTTTTCTGCACTTACTCTGATGATTTTGTTTATAAATGAAATAAAATTTTAAAAAAGACGAGTGGGTTTCTGTTGGCTCAAGTCAATCACAAGATACTAAATGCAGTATATATATATATATATATTCCAGTATATATTCCAATATATTCCTATATATATATATGTATGTATGAATGTATGTATGTATGTATATCGTATTCCAGGAGCTACCTCCTGGAATACAACTGATCCCAGACCTCCGTAAGGCCCTGAAGACTTATTTATTCCAGCAAGCCGGCCTAGCCTAAATGGTTTTTTAATGGGAATTTTTAAATTTTATAGACTTGGGGTTTTAAATTGGGAGGCCGATTGATTTTATTTTAGCTATCTGAACTTTTGTATTGTATGTATTTTAATTTTGGCTGCCCACCGCCCTGAGTCCCTTTTGGGAGAAGGGCAGTATACAAATTCAATAAATAAATAAAAATAAAATATAGCTAACACTATAGTACTACTTAATGACTGGCAATTGCTTAATGGCCACAGTGGAAGCAGATTGTGACACAGGTTTGCTATGCACCAGGGCTATGAAACTCAAGGCCCGGGGGCCGGATCTGGCCCGCAGGGCCACCCTGGAAACAGTGAAGGGAAGTGGCAGGGAAAGGATACTGTAAAATCTCCATTCCCAGCCCACTCCAGGGGAAGGATGCTGCAAAATCCCCATTTCCTCCCGATCAGCTGGGACTTGGGAGGCAGAGAATAGATGGGGACGGGGCCAGTCAGAATTTTTACTACCAGTTCTCCGAACTACTCAAAATTTCCACTACCGGTTCTCCAGAACTGCTCAGAACCTGCTGAAACCCACCTCTGATGCCCATCTTGACCACATCCACACCACCCCTCCGAGGTCAAACACGACCCTGATGCGGCCATCAATGAAATCAAGTTTGACAGTCCCTGCTATACACTGTTTACCACCTAAAGTAATATCAGTCTTAAAACTGGTTAGTTTCAATAGCAACATCTATTATTTTCCAATAGTTCTAATATCTCTGTAAATTGATTTAAAAAAAAAAAAGTTCAGACTAGAACCAATAAGGGACATCTTTTTACATGGGGAAACGCCTCCTAACCGTGTAGTCTACCATGGGCTCAAGCGAATATGTTAGAATTGTCACAAGAACATCTATGACCTCACAATTTAAACTCTTTAAGAAAGACTTGGAATAGACGCCTGAGAAATAGCAGCAGCACAATTTTTGAACAAACCTGGAGTTATTAAGAAATGTATGAGAACCAACTCCTCCTATGGCACAGGGTTTTTAAGGATGTGAAACTGAAGGTAAGACAAAGTTTGTACAGCTTGGAGTAGAGTGTCAAGTTACTTGTGCTATAAGCTTAGTAATAGAAACGACAACTAGCTTGTTTTCATTTTTGCCATTTATTCAGGCCATTTCATCAGTCTTATCTTTCCACCTCTTTTCATCAACTATAGTCACAACAGGCTTCTGACGTTTGGCCATGATGAGGTATGGTAAACATGGGGTGGACACAAGGCAGATAGACCCAGTGAGTGACTTGCAGCAGGACAATGAGTTGTCATTCCCAAATTTTTTTAAAAAAACAGCAACAGAGGAAGGACTTCTCCACCTGGCCCAAATGATTTTGGTGAAATTAAGAAAGATGAGAAAGGGAAGGCGAAGAATATCCGAACAGATGCACATGTGGAACCAATTCCTGAATTCATAATGTTTCCCTTTTTTTCCAACCACGAGCAGATCTCAACATTCTAGTAAAGGACAGAATAAACATTCAAGCTGGAATTAGTATTAAGTCGATGCACGGCTGGGCTGCTGGGGGTTCGCAGTGGTTCAGGAGAACCTCTAGCTAAGATTCTCTGCAGTTCGGAGAACCCCCAAATCCCACTCCTGGCTGGCCCCGCCCACCCCGCCCTGCCCCTCCCAGGAGTCCCTATGTGGCCTATTTTGGATGCAGGTAAGTGCAGGGCATGCACAGGTGAAAAACGGGCCTACCGGAAGTTCGGAAACGGGCTTGTTTCCAGAGGGCCTCCGGAGCCTGGGAAGGCCATTTTCACCCTCCCGGAGGCTCAAGTAAAACCTCCGGAGCCCAGGGAGGGCAAAGTCCCCCACACAATGGTGCAGGAGGCCGACTAGGCCACGCCCACTATCGCCATGCCCACCCAGCAACCAGGCACCTTGCTAAAATTTTTAAAGCCCAACCCTGAGTAGATGACCCAATCATTGTAGCTAAACCTATTCCTGAAGTATCAGAATTACCTAGGAGAAAGAACTAAGTGTAACTAATGTCTCCTGAAGAGAGAAGTTGCTTCATCCTAAAGAAGCTTCTTAGGAGAAGTGTGGGAAAACTTAAATAGAATAGTCACTGAAAAAAAAGTATTAGGTCACTGCATAAATCTAACATCTGAATCTTCATTATATGATCTATTAAGTCAAATCAGATTGTAAACTTTCGTACTCTGTTTGAGAGATAGCTGCTAAGAAACAACAGGAGCAAGCTCCTTGTCAGCCGTGGAAGCCATCTTTTTCTTTGGCTCTTCAGGGCTGCCACACTTAGTGCTGTAGGAAACGGAGGGGGGATTGTATGGAGTTGGGAAGATATCTGGCCATAATAACTTTTCTCTGAGAGTCAAGGACATTCAGCCCTGCACCTGGAGTGGCGTGACTAGGAGGCATCTCCAGTTGGGATGGCGCATTGATTGGACCATGAGGTGGACATGTGGGTGCAGGGGAAGGGACTTGGACTTTCTTTTGGGTGGGGAAAACCTGGAAGCTTTCAGATTTGGGTTTTCCCAGTTGTGCCAATATGACGTCTCTAATAAAATGGAACTTTGAGGAACTTCAAAGCCTTGGAGACTTCTTGCATTGGGGGTGTTCCTTAGAACCCTGACACTCCTATGACCAGATTACAATTAACATCCCCCATTCTCCTAAGTGTCATTTGGGAGGGGGGTTGTCTCCCCCTATGGAGCTTTGATCTCCATACAGAGATTTTATGCCCTTGGCCATTTGTAAGAGCAAAATTCTGTTTCTACTTCGCAGAAGCAAGCCATAAGAGAAGAGATCATTCTTGAATCATGTACTACTCATAGCTTCAAGCAAGATCCATGTAGAATGACCTAATAAGCTTTTCTGTGCTCCATCTAGCAACCCCTGAGAAATATAGCCAAATGCAAACCTTTCGTTAAGGCCTGAAAATGGAAACGGACGTCATTCCAGAAATCGTAGTAGAAGACATACAAGTAGCCGGCAACGTAGATCAGGTTCCAGAGGCAGCTTTGGAAGAAGCAAAAACTGAGGAAGATGTTCATTCTGGTCAGACCCAAACCTATGTCCTTTACATTGGAAACTTAAACCCCAAACATTCCAGCGAAGATCTTGGCAGTATGTTGAAGGACATCCTCAGTATGGCAAGCGTCACGCTCCAAAGATACGATATTGAAGTGATCAAGAAACGTAAGCAGGCCTACGCTTATGTTCAGGTGGCCACAGAAATCAGCCTGGAGCAAGTCCTCAAACAACTGCTCCTGGTTTCGGAGGCAGAACACAACCTCTCCAAAGAGCTTGTGCAGAAGGGGAAAAATCTTGTGGTGGGACAAGGCAAAAAGCCTGCAACTGCTACCAAAACTAGCAGAGAGGTAAGGTGCCAGAAAGCTAACTCTTTGGTTATACTAGGATAGTGATGGCAAACCTTTTCAGCACCAAGTGCCGAAAAGGGAGCGCGCATGCGTCTGAGCCGCAACCCGGAAGAGGAGCTACCCAGGGTGCCTGTACAAGCCAGAAAATGAACTTCCAGTTTCAGCTACTGAACTTCCAGTTTCAGCCAGCTACTCTTCCAGGTTTCTGGTGCACATGCACACGTGACAATCACCTGGCCGGCACGCATGCTCATGCATGAAAATGGAAGACCAGCTCTTCTAGTTTCCAGCACTGCTGCATGCAAAAAGGCCAGCTGATTGTCACACGTGCATGCACGCCAGAAACCTGGAAGAGAAACGGGTGATGCCACGCGTGCCAGGTGACATGGTTCCACATGCCACTTCGGGTACAGTGCCATAGGTTCACCATCAAGGTACTAGGGATTCCAAGCTAACGGTTTGAAAAAGCATGATAGCTGTTATATGCTAAATTCTTGGGCATATATAAAAGCTTCTCACCTATGCAACACCAAGAAGACAGAAATCAAGAATCACACAAACTGCACCAGCCAGATCATTCTTGTACTTAAAATACCTGTGCAAACTTCCGTTTAAAATCAACAATGAAAGGTATTTAGTATGAATGAAAGGCTGGAATAGTGGAGAAGCCAAAGTCCACTAGTGAACTGGTTCTTAAAGTTCTCGGAATCCTCCCCTTATCCAAGCAGACATACATGAAAGATACACATACATGTGCAAGAAGCAAGGTGCATGAAATGTATGCCTTTTGCTTTTTTTCTCTCCGTTGCAAGGAAATAAATAACAATAAATGTTTTCCTTGCACCATAATAGCAAGGGGAAGCTTGGCTATTCTAATAAGGGGTTTATTCCTTGCTACATAAGCCCTAAATCTTTTCCCTCTCAGCAAAACAATAGCACCCAATCTAATTCACCATGACATAACAGAGGCCACCTTCATGTATTACAAAATATTTCTAGCACATCTAGATTTTTTTTCCATATTCCTTTAAAATAGTATTAAAGCAGAATAGTCTAATTGTGTATCTACCATGCACTAAAATAAGCATGTCACGGTAAATCTAGGCATTGTTTGCAGACAGGACATTTGGCAGCAATTGTTTTTTTGTTTTTAAAAAAAAGTCCCCAAAAGATTTGGGATTTAGCATGTTGCCTGGACCCAGCTACCTTCTTTCAAGTCTAACGCCACAATTCCGTGTTCCCTTAAGCAAGGTTTAATTTGCAGCAGGCAGGGTAAACTCAGCTTTTAAGTGTCACTTCAAACAGATTTAACACAGAACAGATTTGTTCTTTGGAGATGGTGGTTCCATTTGGCTAAATAACTCCCAAGTTATTGCAATAACCTTCAGAGAGCACATTGATGCCAACGGACAATATGAAATTTAGACAAATGCGGTCATGGTTATACTTCCAAACTGACTTATTTTCTATAAGCCTCACCCTCAGTGTGGTACATCTAAACACCATTTAAATGTATTGGATTGTCACACCCATAATTGCTAAACCATATACAGTAGTAGCCAAAATCGTGGAAACCTTTTGGGGAAAGTGTATTTTCTTAAAACTAGCTAATAACACCACTTTTTTCTGGAGTAGTACCATAAAATTATATGTCAATGGAAAGATAATTTAATCAAGAATGTAATGCAATAACTTTTATGAAGGATTTGCTATTAGAATAGCAGTTACAGTATAAAGAAGAAAAGTGAAACAGAAAAAATGAGATATACAAAAATTATCACCATAGAAAAAATGAGATATAAAAAAATTATCATGTCAGTTAATAGTTGGGTAACCATTAGCATGAATTACGGCGTTACGATGTCTTCCATGGAGTGAACCACGTCTTTTAGTTCTGCAGCTGTTATAATGTGAAACCAAGATTGAAGGATGGCTTCTATTAACTGGGTTTTATTGCTGGGTCGCTTCTGACTTAACAAGTTTCTTTAGTCAGCTCCATAGATTTTCCATTGGGTGAAGGTCTGGGCTATTCCCAGGCCATTCCAGCAGTGGAATAGAATTATCTTGAAACTCCCCCAAAAAGTTGTGGTGTTTTTAGCCATCAAACCTCAAAAATACACTTTTCCCGAAAGGTTTCCACAATTTTGGCCTCTACTGTAGCTCTAGGGAACTTACAGGGTTTTTTTGGGGTGTGCGGGGGAGGACCCTACTAGCCACAAAGTTTGGGGAAAATATGTCCAATGGCATACTAGGATGTAATTATGATTCCTCCACAGAGACCCAAAGGTATCCCATGTGTTATACATATTAACAATTGGCTGTTCTAAACCAACAAAGGAGACAAACTCAGTATAGATCTTGAATTATAAACTCTTCCCTGGTTTCAGAGTTTTCAGCAGTGACAGCCATTCAGTCATCCAGGTCATGGTTGCCTCAAAGCTGTTTTTTTTTTTCAAAAGGCAACTGGACTTTGTTGTTTCCCTGAAGATGTTTCGCTTCTCATCCAAGGAGCTTCTTCAGTTCATGAACTGAAGAAGCTTCTTGGATGAGAAGTGAAAGTTCTTCAAGGAAAAACAAAAAAAGTCCAGTTGCCTTTTGAAAAAAAGCACCTTTGGGACAGCCGTTCAGCTTTTAGAATAGAAAAACAATTACAGCCCCTGCACTTAAGTTCTTCCTTCCCCGTTTGAACACCAATGTTTGTATATAAAGCACAACAGGAAATATTGGATCTATACGGGTATGTAATTTTTATCACAATTGCTCAACCAAAACAGGAACCTACATTCTTGCAAAGCCGCAAGTCCTTTTACTGGTGACATTTGATTATACGCTTGAATTTTACTCATCATGCCTACAGAGTGATTCCATGGGGAGCAGATCTGATGGTTTGCTAGGAGGACCGTCAGGGCCCGAGAGAAGGAAGCAACTGGCAAATGACAACAGAGCTAATCCCATCAGAAAAAGCGTCCGCTACCCTTGGAGACTGATCGACTGGCCAGTGACTTTTCTGAACAGCACCCGCTCGGACAGTGCCATTGTCCATAAAGAGATTGTTGGGAGAGAATGTCTGTTCTACGGAGCTTTCATTGGTGGGGAGACACGGAATGTGGAATTCAAGCAAGGGAGTGGAGAATACCTGACGACAACGCTAAAGCATCATTTGCGGAAGTACACCTGTGCTTTTCTCAACAGTGAAGGGGGCAGTCTTTTCGTGGGAGTTGAGGACAACGGCTTGGTGCGTGGCGCCAAGTGCGACCACAAGGAAGAAGACCGAATTCGCCTGCTGACCGATTCTCTTTTAAAAACCTTCAAGCCCCAGGTTTTCCCTACCGCCTACACGCTCAGCTTCATCCCAGTTATCAAAGCGGAAGATACGGGCATCTTTCTCAAAGTCATCCGGCTGAGCGTCCATCCTCCCAAGCCGCACGCAGAACCCCTCCTGTATGAAACAGATCAGGGGGAGGTGTACCTGAGGCGAGATGGCAGCATCCAAGGACCCCTCTCTGGAAGCGCTATCCAAGAGTGGTGCCGGCAGGTAACGTTCAGATTTTGCACATCTTGTATAAAGTGCTTGGGGACGTACAAACCAAATTCTAGCTGTCACACAAAGAACTAAGTTTGAAAGTGCCATCCGATAAGCAATAGCAATAGCACTTAGACTTATATACCACTTTACAGTGCTTTACAGGACGTGGTGGCTCAGTGGCTAAGATGCTGAGCTTGTCAATGGAAAAGTCAGCAGTTCAGTGGTTCAAATCCCTAGTGCCGCGTAACAGGGTGAGCTCCCGTTACTTGTCCCAGCTTCTGCCAACCTAGTTCAAAAGCACTTAAAAAATGCAAGTAGAAAAATAGGGACCACCTTTGGTGGGAAGGTAGCAGCGTTCCATGCGCCTTTGGTGTTTAGTCATGCTGGTCACATGACCATGGATAAGTCTTCGGACAGCGCTGGCTCTTCGGCTTTGAAACGGAGCACTGCCCCCTAGAGTCAGGAATGACTAGCACAGATGTGCAAGAGGAACCTTTACCTTACAGTGCTTTACAGCCCTCTCTAGGTGGTTTACAGAGTCAGCCTATGGCCCCCAACAATCTGGGACCTCATTTTACCGACCTCGGAAGGATGGAAAGCTAAGTCAACCTTGAGCCTGGTGAGATTTAAACTGCCAAATTGCAGGCAGCCAGCAGGCAGCAGAAGTAGCCTGCAGTACTGCACTCTAACCACTGCGTCACTGTGGCACGTAAGAAATGGCTTCTGGTTCCCCAACATACAAAATTGGGGGGCTTTGGAGGCTTGTATCGAAATTGATTGTTTTTGTCAGGAATAAATACTTTTGTCATTGAAAGGCAAGTTTAAAGTTCCCAAAGGCCAGCAGAAAAATAAAACTGCTAAATCCTTTCAAATTAGAATCATAGGTAGAGTTCAGCTATTGATGATGGTTGTGTCAGCCTTCTCTCTAGCAACCCAACGATTAAAATATCCAAGGCATTTTTTTTTCCTGCTATAGTGCTCTGCTTTTAAGTAAACCTTCTGCAGAATAGATTAAGGTGTTCCAAAATAACTGAAGACATTGCCCCCGCTAAAATCGTACAAGAAACAAGGGCAAGCCAGATCATCTCCTTACCATTTTAAGAGACTTTCTGGCTTTCCTGATGCCATCACCAGAGTCCAGCTTGCAAAACAAATAGTGCAAAACCGCTATTATGGGGAAGGGAATGACCATGACTTTGTAAATTTCCCAGAAATGGACAGAGGAAATCAAGAAGCTGGAATTGAAAACAGGCGACTTGCTGAAGGAGAAAGAAAACCTGCAACAGCAGATACGTTTGCAGAATAACAGCACAAAATGCTGCGTCATCTCGTAACGTTAAGCCATGCCTTCCATAATCAGCTGGAGGACAGCTACATACATGCCTGGGCAAAGAAAACGCGGCCCCAGTTAAAAGCTTGGATCTACCTACGGTCATCTTGTGCCAGGAGAATGGGGGCCATTATTAGGCTCTGCTTTGCTCTTTCCAATACATGTAGAGTGGAGAAAGCAATTTTTCCCTCCTCTCTGTGTGGATGTGTGTGTGTTATCAAACCAGTCGGGTTGATGAAAGTGATGGAAATCATCTTTTGTACACGCACTGTTGTGCATCAATACATTTCATGTTATCGGTATTTAAAGTGGGGGGGAACCATTATTTGCAACTATATTAACATGGCAATTTTTAATTTTTTTTAAAATTTGATTTATATGCCGCCCTTCTCCGGAGACTCAGGGCGGCTTACAATGCGTTAAGCAATAGCCTTCATCCTTTTGTATATTTATACAAAGTCAGCTTATTGCCCCCACAAACTGGGTCCTCATTTCACCTACCTTAGAAAGGATGGAAGGCTGAGTCAACCTTGAGCCTCGGAGAGATTCGAACCAGCAGAAATTGCAGGCAGCTGTGTTAATAACAGGGTGCACTAAACCACTGTACTATCAAGGCTCTATTCCCATCACCCCCCTTCTCTAACCTGCCCTTTCCTCTGCCTGTTTTCACTGTGTGCCTATTACTGCTATCGGCAATTCTCTCCTTAGAAACAAAAACCAGGAAGTTACTGCTGGGCTGTTCAAGCAGGTTAAAAGTCCAAACGTGGATTATGGTACAGTATTCTTTAACTGACATCCACCAGCTGGCAACTCGAGAGCACTTTTGAAGCTTGGCTTGAGGCTCATGATTTAATTAAGGCATCTGTCGGAACCCCCAGACCAGCATTTATATGGGTGGTTGTTTCAGATTATATAATAATAGCGACTTCCTTTCCGTGGGTTAAGGAAGAGCAGCCAAGTTAATTCCTTGAGTAAACATTAGGCAATGGGTCCCAGGAAGTTTTCAGTTGGCCCTTAGTGTGATTTGGGGACAGTGGAGTTGGGATGGTACTGTTTCTACCATCTTTTTCTAGTATTCCAGGTATAGTATCAGCAATAATCAGGAGCAGTGGTGGGATTCAAATAATTTAACAACCGGTTCTGTGTACTAATGACCGGCTGGGTGGGCGTGGCCATGGTGGACAGGCGCCCCCCCCCCCCAGTGCCCCGTTTTGGGCCTAGAAGGCCTCCCTACAGTCTCCTGGAAACAAAAACGGGCCATGGGGATGGCACACCGCACTCCCCACCACCACACCGTTTTGGGCCTAATAGGCCTCCTTGCACTTACCTGGGAGCCAAAATGGGGCGCCTGGGGACACCTGGAAGGGGCGGGGTGGGAAGGGATGGGGTGGGGCCAGTCAGCAATTTAACTACCAGTTCACCTGAATTGGCTGAATCCCACCACTGATCGGGGGGAGGGAGGGAGGGAGGGAGGGAGGGAGGGAGGAAGGAAGGAAGGAAGGAAGGAAGGAAAGGAAGGAAGGAAGGAAGGAAGGAAGGAAGGAAGGAAGGAAGGGAAAAAGGAAAGAACAATGTGATGTGAAGGAGGGAGGGAGGGAGGAAGGAAAGGACAATGATGTGAGAGGGAGGAAGGAAGGAAGAAAGGAAAGAAGGAAGGGACAATGTGATGGGAGGGAGGAAGGAACAATGTAATGTGAAGGAGGGAAGGAGGAAGGAAAGGAAGGAAGGAAGGAAAGGACAATGTGATGTGAGGAAGGGAGAGAGGGAAGGAGGAAGGAAGGGACAATACGATCTAATTTCAAAAGAAATTCCACTCTTTAAATAAGAGAAATGGAGAGGGCATGGGGGAAAAAAAGAGTTTTCAAGTTATATAAAACAACACGGGGCAAACCAATTGTTTTCCCAAAGTTTTAATGAACTGAAAAGGATCTGTACATCCAATCTATTTGCACTAACACACTGTTTCACCTAACTTGCTGGAAAACGTAGTTGATAACCTGCACTGGGAAAAGATCGTAAACCATGTTTTCCTTCAAACCAACCCCCCCCCCCGCCCCCCTTTGCAGGCTCATCCTTTCACTCTCCTACGGCTGCATCTGCGTGTCCCTGGAGGCATACTTCCCCTTGTAAAAAAAAACAGGTGCCTGGGACAGCCTCATACGCCAACAGGAGCTCTTCGTTCTGCACAGGGTGGTCTTCGAAAAATAAGACCCTCGGTGCTTCTTTCTAGTCCAAGGCGAAGCTCTCAATGAGGTGCAAAAAGGCAACTTCTGAAGTCACTTTTTCATACACGTGCACACCCCTCCCCCACCCCTCACCCCCCCCCCCCTTGATGCAAGGAATCGAATCAGTTCAGGAAGCTGAACTAAAGGAAGCCATGCTCCTCTGGTGAATGCGTAAAATGGGGCGCACGGGGGGGAATTGACCACTCACATTTTTGAAACATCTTTGAATGTGTGGCCAGATTTGCTTAGCATCAGAATACACTGTATCTCGTGAACAGGAAAATTATACTCTTCGGAAAGGTTAAGCAATGTTAAGTGTAGCACCAGTTTGTTTTAGAATACTTTAGAATAGGGATCCCCAAACTTGGCAGCTTTAAGACTTGTGGACTTCAACTCCCAGAATTCTCCAGCCATGCTGGCTGGAGAATTCTGGGAGTTGAAGTCCACAAGTCTTAAAGCTGCCAAGTTTGAAAACTTCTGCCTTAGAAGCTTGCGATGGCCTGCCTTGCACGACTTTCCACTGAGATGCCGACAATATAATCTACCTCTCTCAACAATGGAGAAGCATCAAAATCCTGAACAGAGATTCTGCGCGGCCTCTTCTGCGAGCATTTACAATGGCCTGTTCAAACAAAATGTCTCTTCCCCTCCCTCAGCTTCTGCACTTTGTTCACAGTTGAGCACAACTAAAGCAGCACTGCCAGTTTCTCGGAATACTTTCTTTTTTAAAAAATAAAAATAAAAGTAACGACAAGATGTCCTCCAAAATAAAAAACAATTATAATAACATGATCTACAAAATCCTCAGGACGTATGGCTGTCCAGTGAAGAATTTCCAAACACCTGGATGGTGGGTAGGTTGGGATGAAGAGAGAGAAAAAGAGGAAGATCAGAGATATTTATATCAAACTAGCTGATAACCCAGCGTTGCCCCGGTATTTAAGAACCAATCCCCCCTTACCAGAGGGAGCCCCCTTGTGGAGTATCGTGAAGCCGTTACCATGGCAACTCCACTGTGCTGTACAGTTGAAGCCATTTTAAGGCACAACAGGCTGTAGCTTAACAGAACTTGAATCCAAAATGCACACTATCACTGTCAAAAGTACTGTGATTTGACACTATAGATACAATTCATTCCTTTTCATTTCAGCGGCCCAGGCGTTCCAGAGTTATGCTGGAACACACACACACACAGACACACACACAGAGAGAAGGGGTGTTAGGGGTGTCTTATCCCCACAGTATTTTTTTCCAGAGAGTAAGTCATCTGTGTACCAAGTTTGGCTGAAATTGCTCGAGGCGTTCCAGGGTTATGCTGGAACATACATACACACAGAGAGCTATTTATATGTGTGTGTGTGTGTATGTGTGTGTGTGTGTATCAGTATTTGGAAAATACTCTTTAACCTGGTAATTTTGACTACAATGCTGGTCCCAGGAAATGTGATGCAAGCAAATAGCGAAAGAAACAATTTTAAAAACCTGGAAAATGAAAAATAAAGATTTTACCAGCAGTTTACTCATGATTCTCTGCAGTAAATTTCAGTTCTGTGATCTCAGAATCAGGGGAACTACTTCCACTTCTGTCACTATAGGTATCCCTGTAAAATTCAGGTTGTTAGAAAAATAACAGGATTTCTCTTACATACATAAACAAAATTCTGTTCCTGGTCTACTGGTTCAGCTAGAATTCCTGGCCACTGAGGCAAAAGAAATCAAGAGAAAGAACAGACTACAATCTACAGCAAACACTGGAGGTCTCAACATTCCTGAAGATAAGGTTGCTTGGCTGTATTTATATAAAAACCTTTTTTTATATAGTGGGGGCCCATTCTTGTTTTGTAACATAATGACCTGTTACAGGAAGACACAGAATTAGATAGGCCACAAGGGTCTTGGAAAGTTTTTGCTGACAGGCTAATCTGAACCATTTTTTTTTTTTTAATTAAAGACCAAATACCATATTTTTTGGAGTATAACATGCACTCCCCCTCCCCCGCCGCTAAAAGTGGGTGGAAATATCTGTGCATCTTATACACCAAATGTTGCCGAAGCCCTGCCCACCTGCCAGCCCTCACCCTTCAACCATTTTCAGCCTCCGCATGTTCCGTTTTAGCCCCGTTCCAGGCTGTGGGGATTGCCACAGCACATTGCCGCCGATTGCTGCCTCCAAGTGTTGCGTTTTTGGCCTCCGTGCATTGCGTTTTCAGCCTCCGCACACCCTGTTTTAAACCTGTTCAAGGCTGCCGGGATCGCTACAGCACACCGCTGCCGATCACAGCCCCCGCATGTCACATTTTTGGCCTCCGCATGTCATGTTTTTGGCCTCCACATGCCCTGTTTTTGGCCTCCGTGCGTCCCATTTTCGGCCTGTTCCAGGTGGCGGGAATCGGTGGTGGCGGCAATCCCCGCAGCCTTGAACCTGCAGAAAACACAATGTGCAGAGGCCAGAAATGGGGCGTGCAGAGGCTGAAAATGCAATGCGTAGAGGCAGCGATCGGTGGCAATGTGCTGTGGCGATCCCCGCAGCCTGGAACGGGTCTAAAGCAGAGCATGTGGAGGCCAAAAACGCAACGTGTGAAGGTGGCGATGGGATGTGGCGATCCCCGGATCCTGAAACAGCTGATTGGCAGTATTCTGGGAGGCAGATCCAACCGCCAATCAGCTGCTCGTGCTGAATCAGGCTGATATAACGTTCTGAAGCTGACCAGGCTGTTTGCTGCAAGGGCACTAGTCAGATGAATATCAATGGATGCTGGTAGGCAGAGGCAGAATTTTTTTTCTTGTTTTCCACCCCAAAAACTAATGTGCATCTTACTCCAGAGCATCTTATACTCTGAAAAATACAGTATATGAAAGTAAGAGAAATAGTTATTTGATTAGATGCAGAAAACAAAATACTGTGCAAGGGAATAGGATGTTATCATGAAGGCTCCAACGCCAGATGGATGTAAACCTGAGCTCACATACTCCCAAAGCAAGTTCCAACAGTATACAGGAGGCTGGACTTACCTGGGAGAGAGTCTGCAACCTTTCTGGAGATAATGTGAGAGTTTTCCTGCGGAGGCCAGGAGGAGGCCAAAGTAAGGAGGAGAGGGTTTTATGGGTCTGGAGAGGAATTCTGGGTGATACTGAACCCCCACAAAAAATGGATGTTCTAGAGGAGAAAATAAATCATGCTTTATTACCTTAATGGCCAAAATTATTCATAAGGCTACATGAATATCGTATAAAAAGCTAGAGGTGTGTAGCTATGGAAGAGAATATTTGTACCCAGGGTTGAACTGCGGGGTCCTTAGTGCTCTGAGCTTGGTTGGTTTTTTGCAATCTGGGTAAATCACTGATGTTACCTAGTTTGGTACTGAAAAAGAAAACCAAGCTCAGAGAGCACCAAGGACCTCACTGAAATTCATTTTTTAAAGAACTACTACAGCAATTCTCTTTTTTTTTCTATCGTGTTTCCCCCAAAATAAGACCCTGTCTTATTTTATTATTATTTTTTGCCACCAAAAAAGGCACCAGGTCTTATTTTCGGGGGAAACACTTTTCACTGTCAGAGGCCTTCAGAAACTTCAGCCAGCAAGGCTTTCCTGAAGGGCTCTGTAGCCGATAACAGAGCTCCAGATCAATCCGGAGCTCTGTTATTGGCTACAGAACCCTTTAGGAATGCCTTGCCAGCTGCAGGAGAAATGGGCCGAGGTGTGCAAGGCCTGGCTGTAACTGTCCGAAGCTAAATTGTAGGGCAGCTCCACCCCCCCATCCCTGCCCTAGCTTAATTTTTACCCGTGCACCCTGGAGTGGGTGGGGTCTTAATTAGGGCTTATTTTGGGAGTAGGGCTTATATTGGGCGCACCAGTGGTGGGTTTCAATTTTTTTTACTACCGGTTCTGTGGGTGTGGCTTGGTGGGCATGGCAAGGAAAGGATACTGTAAAATCTCCATTTCCTCCCCAATCCGGGGAAGGTTACTGCAAAATCCACATTTCCTCCCGATCAGCTGGGACTCGGGAGGCAGAGAATAGATGGGGGCGGGGCCAGTCAGCATTTTTACTACCGGTTCTCCAAACTACTCAAAATTTCCGCTACTGGTTCTCCAGAACTGGTCAGAACCTGCTGAAACCCACCTCTGGGCCGCACGTGTAAAAATCAAGCTAGGACTTACTTTTGGAGTAGGTCGTATTTTCGGGAAAACACAATATCTAAGGAAAGATCACTTCCACAAATCTCAGAGAAACCCCTAAAGCTTTTCCTCAATTAACAATAGCAACCCTTCTGGTGACAGATCACTGCTCACCTTCCAACTCAACCACTTCCATTCGCTCTCCTTCCACATCCTGGCCCACAAACTTCATACCTTTCTCTTCAAACGAGTTTTTCAGCTCTGGATTTACCTACGAAGAGAAGATTACACCAGGTGATTTTTTTAAAAAAACTGGACTTTGGAGAAAAAGGGGGTCGTCGTCGTCCCCCCGCCGCCTCTCTCCACTACAAGTAGCCATACCTCAAATCTGTGTCTGTGCCTTTCTTCCAAGTAATCACCATCTCCATACAGTTTTCCTATTGGTGGGAAAAAATACATGGCCATTTGATTATTTGAAATTAGCCATACTTATTAATGCCATACCTTCCCTTTGCCTTTTCCTGATATAATGTTGATTTTCTTCCTCTTACAGAAAACTTTATTAGAAAGCAGTTCCTGTGTTCATCAAAATGTCACCAAAGAAAGAATGCATGAGCCTATCTTCTAGTCCAGGGGTGTCAAACTCGAAGGCTGCATCAGGGTTATGTTTGACCTTGTGGGGGGGGGGGTGGCCAGTGTGGATGTAGCCAGCTCGATGTCACTCGTGTCGGGGTCACCTGTGGCGGCCCAAGCACTGTGCCAGTAAAAATGGGCTCCCGAGCTCTGTTCTCAACTGCGACGGCCTCCTGCAACCCTCTGCCAGCGAAAACGAAGCTCGGGAGGCCCTCCCGAACTCCGTTTTCACTGGCAGAGGCACTGCGGGCCGGCCTTTTCCTGTTTCCAAGGTGGCCCCATGGGCCAGATCTAAGCACCCTGTGGGCCGGATCCAGCCCCCAGGCCTTGAGTTTGACATCCCTGTCCTAGTCTAATATTTATTCATTTATTTATAACCCGCCTTTATTATTTTCACAAATATTCAAGGCAGTGAACCAACAAACCTTCCTCTTCCTAATTTCTCCACAACAACCCTGTGAGGTGAGTTGGGCTGAGAGAGAGAAGGAGTGGCTCAAAGTCACCTCAGCTGGCTTTCATGGCTAAAGCGGAACTTGAACTCTGTCACTTGCTTTCTAGCCTGGTGCCTTAAACACTAGACCAAACTGGCTCTCAAATATGCTACATCTCTAAGCTTTTCATCTGAACCAGAAGTCCATTAATGGTGTGAAGACAATAGCTTTCCCCACCTGTGATTCCCCAGCAGCTGTTATTCGGTGATGTCATATACCCTCTCTGTACCTGGAGTTTCACGTTACAACTAATAACCGCAAACTGACTTTTCCTCTGTGAACGTGTTCAATTGTTAACTGGCTATCACAGTATCTTGCTGTTATCTATATACTAAAACTCTTGTGTCTGTAATCTTTAATTGACAAAACAATGCATCGCAGGGCAAAATGTTTGGAACCAAGGTGCTTCAAATGAGCTAGTTTACAGAATGCATCCAAAATCCGGGACCCGTGACTCTCCCATGGAATTGAAATGTGGCCACGTTTACAAAACATTTTGTGACCTAAACATGATCCTAAATCATTTTATGACATAATTCTAAATGTCATAAAACATTTCCTGTAGTCCACTCCTGACATTTGAGTGTGCTATACAGTTCAACATGGACTACTTTCAAGACAGATAGATCTCTGAATATTTCCCTGAATTTTACAAAACATTTCAAGTTACACATTAGAACAATGATAGCAAACCTTTTCGGCACCGAGTGCCGAAAAGGTTGCCCGGAAACGTCACACATGCACATGCTCATCGGGGCCGCGCTCCTGAAAAGCCAAACTTCTGGGCTCTAGGACGCATGCACGCCTGACAATCAACTGGCCGGCGTGCATGCACACATCGGTTTTTGGCACTGCCGTGCACATGAAGGACAGCTGATTGTCATGCACGCATGTGCACCAGAAACCCGGACGATAAACAGGCAAGGCCGCGCAGGCCGGGCGACATGGCTTCACGTGCCACTTTGTGCATGCGTGCCATAGGTTCGCCATCACGGCACTAGAAGCTCTGCCACTGCTGAAAGCATTGAGGAATCTGGCAAGGAAGTATCTCTGAAACGATGACCTGAGGGGTCACGGGGGGGGGGGGTCTAGTAAATACTTAAGTTTAAAATACAAAGTTTGAGGTATATATTTTTTTTCTTTTGTCAAGCTACTACCAAAGTCATCAAAGTTGCCCCAAATGTCCTAGGAAAGTGGGACAGCCACTAACTATAATTTCCCATATGTTAAGGCAGCCTAGGCATTGTATAATCAAAATAGAGTCAGGAGTCAAAAGAAAGGAAGGGGGGGGAAAACAAAAAGGAAGGCCAAGAAAAGCATACTCATGACTGAGTTCTTGGTTTGGAAGATGGTTCTTCTCTTGCCCAGCCTCATGGTTCCACCCATTTGACCTGGATTGTGTTCCGGCATGTCAATTACCTGAGAAGTCAAAGAGGTTGATGTGATGGAGGAGGAGAAGATAAGACAACTAAGAATGTTAAGCAAGTATGCAAGGAAAACAAAATATGTGAGCTGATTCATTTACACAGGTCTAGTAGCATCTAAAAACAAAATTAATGGTTTCTGGCATTGGTAATCCAGAGCTTAATCAAAGGGCTTAAACCCCAATTCTACCAGCTAATACAGTATTTTTCATGTGTACCATGAGTTTTAGAGTGTATTCATGTGGGTCTGTAAAGTTTAATAGTATATGCATAGGTAACATACCCATACACATATACAAACATGCAAAAGTTTACTTTTAAGGTATCTAAAACACTCTTGAATAGAAAGTCAAGTAAATGTAACACACATCCTATTTGGTCAAATTGAGAGATTCACTGGCTCTAAATAAAATAAAATATGGACTTTCATATCTACAAAAAAAAATGGCAGAGCAACTCTCTGAGAAACACCTAACTTCAAATATGAGACAACATTTTAACAGAAGTTCATCAATCATAATACTATGGGGAAGTCTGATTATTTTCATCATAATTCATTCTGATGAGGCCATGTTTTTTACATTTCCTTTCAAAATAATTGTTGTGAGAAGGAAGGGAGGGAGGGAAGGAAGAAAATGTTCTTGGTATACATAAAAATAAATCACAATAGATTAAAAAAGTATCATCACACTTACCACTGGATGTGTAGTTTTAGGGTCAAATTCGGTAGAGTTGGCATCTGTGGATGATAGGCTTTGATCACATAAATTCTCGGGTCTTAAGAAAAAAAATCTACATTTCCAGTAGAAAGCAGCTTTTCCGTTAATTAGCATTAATGACAATGTAACGCAAGACTCAGAGCAAACGCTTCACATATACTAGGGGTCTCCAACCTTGGCAGTCCTACCCAAATCATTAACATACCATGTTGTATATTTTAATAATCCACTACTTAAGTTTGAACATTTGTAAATAGGTGCTTTCTTATTAAGACCTCTACACTTAGGCTAGTAAACAAAGCAATAAAAACATGGGAGGTTTATATTTTGTATTGCGAACAATTTAGAGAATTAAAAGCTCATCCCTTTATAAACTCTTGTAAAAAACTGGGTAAAGTGAAATAGGTACCATTACCTTACGAGTATAAAAAGCTTTATTGCGATTTAAATGTTCCCGGTATACTGCTGCCCTACAGCAATTATATCACAAGCGATTTTAAAGATTAACATTCTTAAAGACAGGCCCAAATGTTTATTTTCCCACACTTTTACCTTGCCAGCCAAGGATATTGCGGGCAAACTCCACAACAGCCAACTGCATTCCCAGACAGACTCCTAGAGAAAACAGAGCAAGGAAATATATTTTAAAAAACATGCACTGGTATTCTCTAATACACAGCAAAGTCCTATTATCCTTCTTTATTAGACTCTACATAAGCAGCTGAAGATCAGGTACAGGAGGACCTTTGGGATAATTTACAGCAGGGGTGGGGATTCTACCGGTTCAGACAAACCGGTAGCTCCAACGATCAGCTGGGAAGAGAACCGGTTCGCTCCCTCCTCCCCTGCGCTTTACTTATCTTTATCTTCCCAGCTGACTGGCGCAGCAGAGCAGATTGCTGCAGCTCAGCTGTGTTACTCCCAAGTGATAACACAGAAGGTTAGTATTTGTAAAACTGTGTGCACAGCGTGCGTTAGGCGCGCGCAAAGTGCGCGATCACCGAACCAGTTGTTAAACCGGCAGCATCCCAACACTGATTTATGGCCTTACAATTAAGCATCAGTCTGAATGCAAGAAATCACATAGAGGTTTCTTGGGATAATTCTGAACAATATTTCTTTTAACTTATCATTTCAAGCAAGCTGGTACAGAAAAGGACCATTTCAATTCTGGTTCACATTCAAAGCAATTAGTTGAATTTTATTTATCTAATCAATAGAGAGATGGATTGGTTGATTGGAGTAACTTTAGAGGCCACCCAACAGTTTATGCCAGTGGTCCTCAAACTACAGCCCGCAAGCCGGATACAGCCCGCTGAAGCCATTAATCCGGCTCGCATGGGACGAGGCTGCCCCGCCCACATCGTCCCACCTACCTACCAGTCCCCACCCGCCTTCTGGAGGCCAAGGAGGCCAAAAACGGGACGCGCTGAGGCCTTGGGAGGCCAAAAATTCCCCAGCCTCCAGAGAGAACACACACACACACACAAACAGAAGTCCCTCACACACACCCCAAGGCAGCTACATCCCTTCACTAGCCACCTTTCCACCCCCAGGAGCATAACAAATTAATTTGTTTAATTTGTGTGTATTGCTTAATGGACTGCTAAATTGGCCATGCCCACCCAGTCACATGACCACCTAGCCACGCCCACCCAGCCGATCCGGGCCCCCAAGTCTGAGGGACCGTGAATTGGTCCTCTGTTTAAAAAGTTTGAGAACCCATGGTTTATGCTGTAATAAAGAACTATGAGAAAAAGATCACGTATGGGCAAGAGGAAACAAAACATCAACACGCCGAAGAAAATTCAACGGACTCAACAACCACTCTATCCCCAGGCCTGGGAGCAAAGCCAAGTTTTTAAAGACTTTGGGAACATCACAAGGTTGGGTCACATGAATCTCTGCAGAGATGCTATTCCAGAGGGCATGTGCCGTGACAGAGAAGGCATCCTTCTTATCTCTCTCGAGATGACACTGATTAATTGAAAGAATCTGGAAGGCACCCATTCTCCTGATCCTACTGGACAGGTAGAAAATGTTGGACACAGAAATCAAAGTATAGACCAGTGTTTCTCAACCTTGGTAGCTTGAAGATGGGTGGACTTCAACTCCCAGAATCGCCCAGCGTGAAGTCCACCCATCTTCAAGCTACTAAGATTGAGAAACACTGGTATAGACCCAATGCCTTGTCAACTAAAGTTCTGCTACATCTTTCTCCGTACAAAAAAAAATAAATAACATTCAAGCATATTTTCTCACCTAGGAAAGGTTTCTTCTGCTTTCTTGCCCAAGAAATGGCTTGGATTTTTCCTTCTGTACCTCGAACACCAAAACCACCTGGAACCAAAACTCCACTAAACAAAACAAAACAAAAAAAGACTAAGCCACACCCAGACTCCAAATTGTCTCTTATGGCCCCATACAAACAAAGACTAGGTTTCAGTTTCCAAACAGTCCCCATTGGCTGACCTGTTACCATGTCTATCCAAACAGTCCCCATTGGCTGATCTGTTGCTATTTTCCAGTCTATGAATATTCATACTCTGACATATAGCCCCCAACAATCTGAATTAGACCCAGCAATATAAACTTGTTTCTGATATACGTCATCCTGTTGTTCAGAAACGGAAAACAAGGCCCGGTGCCTAACTCATTAAAAGGAAGTTATTTTAACACTGTCTCAACAAGTCTGGCCTAATAAAAATGAAGTTATTGCTGGGAGAAGTACAAAAACACCTTCAATAAAATGAGGAGACATGTTCTCATCATAGAAAGGAAGGCCTTACTCAGCACTGCAAAGCCTCTGCCAAGCTTCGTGGTATCGTACTGGTTCTTCTTGTAATGTAACCGGTTCCAAATTAGCAGAATCAATATACTGGAAAGAAAGAAAGAAAGAAAGATTGTCTACTTTTAGACCTTGAATGTCAATGTTTGTTGCTCAATGCCTTGATTATTCTATTAACTGACGAAATAGTGACCAAACAATGATCCTTATGATTTTTATTTTTTTTTAAAAAAAAAAAAACAACTTCTGTTCCAAGTTATAGACCTTGGAGGCTTTTTCATCTTAAAATAGTTTAATAATCGACGAAAAACAGAGATGGACAAATTGACAAAAGGGATACAAGAAAAAGATGAAACGGAATATTATTTAATATGGAATAAATGGTATAAATGGCTAGAGGTCAGGAACAGCAAGTAAGAAGGATTACTAATATGCCACTAAACAGACAATGTATGTAAAGTAATATATAGATACAATAATATGTATAACAGATAAAGAAATATATACCTAAATAAGGAACAAGGGAACCACAAGTATATGTAAAGATGGGGAGAGGAAAAACGTGAATTTTAAAAGAAGACCGATATGAAACTCTTGTAAAATGGAAGTTTATGTTTGTGTTTCTGTTCTTGTTTTTAAAGAAAAATATGTTTTAAAAAAATCAATGAAAAACATTGCTTATGTTTTGTGTTTCTGTTCTTGTTTTTAAAGAAAAAATAATAAAAATTATTCTTTTAAAAAAAAGTCAACAAAAACATTGCTATAGGAAGCTGATGATTACAAAAAAAAAAAGATCATTTAAATGATCACATCATCATGATGCCTTCAAAGCAATCAAGATTCTTAGAGAGCTTTCAGTCCTCTTTTGAGGAACAGAAGAAATTCCCCAGGCCAATCTTTTAACTTTTCGCTCTCAGGACCCCTCCTCACTTTTAAAAAATTATGAAGGACCCCAAAACCATTTGTTTCTGTAGGTTACGATGATTAATACTGTATTAACACATTTATAGAATATTTATTGAATCATGTAAAAATAATATTAAACGTTATCAACATAAAAATGTTCATGAAAAACTATTTTAACAAATAAAAAATAATAAGATTGATATGTTTTACATTTCTACAAATATCTTTTAATATCTGGTAAATCTGGTGAATCCGAGAGGGTCTTGAGCAGGAGTTATCAAACTCAAGGCCTGGTGGCTGGATCCGGCCCACAGGGTATTTAGATTTGGCCCACAGGGTTGTCCTGGAGACAGCAAAGGACCAGCCTGTGGTGCCTCCACCAGTGAAAACAGAGCTCAGGAGGGCCACGCATGGCTCACCCAAGCTCCATTTTCAACTGTAACGGCCTCCTGCAACCCTATGCCAGTGAAAACAGAGCTCAGGAGGGCCACAAGAACTCAGGCCAAGCTCATCGTGGCCACACCCACATGCCCCCCCCCCGAGGTCAAACACAATCCTTATGCGGCCCTGAATGAAATCGAGTTTGATACCCCTGGTCTTAAGGGACCCTCAGGAGTCCTTGAACCACACTAAGAAAGAGCCTTGGTAGTACAGTGGTCTAAGGCACCCTGTTATTAAGCTGGTTATTAAGACCAGATGCCTGCAATTACTGCAGGTTCGAATCTCGTCAAGGCTCAAGGTTGACTCAGCCTTCCATCCTTTCTAAGGTAGGTGAAATGAGGACCCAGTTGTGGGGGCAATAAGCTGACTTTGTATAAATATACAAAAGGATGAAGGCTATTGCTTAGCGCATTGTAAGCCGCCCTGAGTCTCTGGAGAAGGGCGGCATATAAATCAAATTAAAAAAAAGAAAAGAAATGCTTTTGGGTCTTTTGATCCAATTTTCCCCATTGTGTTTATTATAGCTCTGGAAAAGTGTACAGTAGTAGCCAATTGGGGGATTGACACAATATCAACATCCCAAAGATTTTCTTACACAATGCTTGCATTGTTGTTATCACATTGATAAGCGCCATAATTTCTAACATTGCTGAAATATATGAGGTGGGCTAGTTTTTGTTGCTGTTGGTAAACGTAGTAGAAGTAATAGCATTTTAGGTGCAATATGAGTTATCAACTCAGGGTAGACACCCATACAGATTTTAAGTTTCAAATTAAACCAAGCAAGTAAATATATATATATATATATATTTAGGATAGTCAGTGGAAAAAGCATACCTTTATCTCAAGTTTGTGATTGATGGCTAGAGCAGAATGTTCCAAGGCTTTTATGACGGAAGCATATGAATCTGAAAATTTTGTATATTTGCCAACCAGGGCAATAGAACAGGTCTCCAATAAGCGATCGTATCTGTGTAAAAAACCAAAACCACGTAGTTAAAAAGTGAATATCAAAAAGGATGGAATGAGAAAGCCAATATAACATTATCCTCTCACAAGACAGCTTACTGGTTAATACGCTGGACTAGAAACAGGGAAACATGGATAGGCACAAAAACCAGCTGGGTAACTGACCCTCGGCCCTAGGAAGAAGGCCAGAGCAACCATTTCTGAAACTGCTACCTAGAAAATGACACAGACTTGTCCACGTAACTGCCAAGACTCAAGTCCAACTCAAAGCACCTGTCAGGCCTGGAAGCCATCTTTTGCACTAGGCCTTCAAATCTGCCACGTTTACTACTGTGGGAAACTGGGAGGGGGAATTGTATAGAGCCAGGGTGATATATAGTCATAACAACATTCCTTTCTCTGAGAGTCAAGGACATCCTGCCCTGCACCTGGAGTGGTGCGACTGAGAGGCATCTCCAGTTGGGATGGTGCATTGATTGGACCATGTGATGGACATGTGGATGTTGGGCAGGGACTTGAACTTTTCTTTGGGTGGGGAAAACCTGGAAACTTTCAGATTTGGGTTTTCCCAGATGTGCCCATATGACATCTCTAATAAAATGGAACTTTGAGGAAACTCAAGCCTCGGAGTCTTCTTTCGTTGGGGGTGTTACTTGGAACCCTGACAGCACCATTACCATTACCCCCCCATCAAAATCCTCACCATTCAGTAGATTGGATAAAATGCAAATTATTAACACTGCTAAATTTGTTTATTTTTAAATGTATATGCCCCCAACTCTCTGTCCAAAGCAAATAGACTGTAACGTCTAAAAAGGTACACTATGCGCTTGGATGCAGAGGTGGCTTTATTAAAGACATTCTGCAAACTAAAACTTAGCTCAGCCAAAGTCAAGCTAAACAAATTGTATCTTCAAGTCAGGAGATAGACTAGTCGAGCGCATTATCTCCAAAAGATCCTTTTAAAAAATAGCAATAGCAATAGTGTTTATATACCACTTTACAATGCTTTACAAAGCTCTCTGAGCAGGTTAGAGTCAGCCTATTGCCCCCAACAATCTGGGTCCTCATTTTACCAACCTCGGAAGGATAGAAGGCTGAGTCAACCTTGGGCCAGTTAGGATTGAAGGAATTGAACTTCTGACAGTGAGCAGAGTCAGCCTGCCATACTGCATTCTAACCACTGCGCCGTCTTGGCTCCACCATTATAATGGGGGATTCCGTATCCTATCCTTTTCATCTGTGGTCTGAAGTGATGCGGTCTACAATACGGCAATCTAAATTTGGGTGCCGTGTGGTTCATTGTTGTGGAGAATCCAGTGGTTGTCTTAGCTGGTTGGGGTAACCAGGCCATCCTTGCAAGCAATATGCTTTCTTTGAGCATATCGAACTGCACAGTCATTGTGCTTTGTTGTCTTAGGTTTAAAAGTTTAGTGTATTGTGTGAAACTAGCCAGAATTACTGTTTGCCCAGAGTAACTCTCACCTGTCTGCCATCTCCTTCCACTTCATCAGCATTCTCTGGGGCTGCTTTTCAATGGGAAGGTTGAGCCTGTGCCTAAAATAATCCACCACTCCTTGCTCCTCTAGCAACAGAGGAACCCGATAGATGGAAGAGACGTCATGGACACAGATTACCTGTTGAAGCAAAAGCAAATTATTTGGTTAAGCAAATATTACTAGGATCTTAGCGCCGTGTCCGCAAATACACGCAACGATGCACAGAATTAACTGCTGCTCTGGCAAACAGAAAATCAAAATAAGGTGTGTTGCAAGTCTCAGCTAATTGGATAAAAAGGGGGCTTATATACATAAAATCTGCTGCACAGCATTGACCTAGATGCGGGTCTCCCGAGCTTTGATAAAAAGGACAGATAGGCAACCAGCAGCCTACAGGTAATGCTTCAACACCTGTTTTACAATTCGTCAACACCGTGATTTGGTGATAAATGATTGAAAATCCACCCTATGCATTTCTTTTTCTTCTAGATAATTAATAAGTTACATAGGAGTTCGTAACTTCAATCTGTTCTGTGCATGCAGAAACTATTATTATTATTATTATTATTATTATTATTATTATTATTATTATTATAAATTTTTATACCGCCCTTCTCCCGAAGGACTCAGGGCGGTGAACAGCCAGGATTAAAATACATACAATATGAAAATTAAAATAATTTAAAAATAATTAAATCAATTTGGCTTCCCAATTTTAAAACCTCTTACCCATAAAATTAATCAATTAAAATTAAAAAGGTAAAGGTTCCCCTCACACATATGTGCTAGTCGTTCCTGACTCTAGGGGGTGGTGCTTATCTCTGTTTCAAAGCTGAAGAACCAGCGCTGTCCGAAGAAGTCTCGTGGTCATGTGGCCGGCATGACTAAATGCCAAAGGCGCACAGAACGCTGTTATCTTCCCACAAGGTGGTCCCTATTTTTCTATTTGCATTTTTTACGTGCTTTCAAACTGCTAGGTTGGCAGAAGCTGGGACAAGTAATGGGAGCTCACCCCGTTACGCAACTCTAGGGATTCGAACCGCTGAACTGCCGACCTTTCAATCGACAAGCTTAGCGTTTTAGCCACTGAGCCACCGCGTCCCTGCAGAAACTATTCCATGAAATCAAAAGCCTGCAGAAAACACACATATATGTCAAAAGTTATATGTTAACTTGAAGCAACTTTACCTGTTCTGGTTCTACGTGGCAAAACATGGAAATTTTCTCTTTCACTGAGGTATCCAGAGGTGTGGAACATCTGCACACGATCTAGCAAAGAAAGTAATGTGAAACCTTCAAAAGATTTGCCCAAGGTTTAAATCTAGCCTTCAAACAGAATTTGGTTAGCTCACCAAAAAACAATTAACCGCATTATGCTTTCTCAGCCTCTGTGAACAGATTATTATCTCTTTCACAGCCATTTATTTTATATTTCTCAAATCGCCGAAGAACATCTTCCCATCCTCGGCCTGACAGTAGTTTGAAATCCACCCAGTATTTTTTACATACATCGTAGCAAAACTTACTAGATCTGGTGATAGACCGAGGCCCCGAAGTTCACGAACACTATTCTGAGTGGGTTTTGTCTTCTGCTCTCCTGTAGAACTTGGCTAATAGAGCCAAGCCAAGAAATATAAACAAGACGACAATGTGTCAAATTAAGATCAGATTTATTTCCCAACCTCTTTGAAAACCTTCAGGTCATCCTTGCAATCTGTTTATTCATTTGTCTACTTTCTAGGCCCCCAATTCCACAAACAGCTTCAGATGATTAAAAACAGAACAAGCAATAATCATCTTATTTTATTTCACAAGATTAATTATGTTAATTCATTATAATTATGTTTCTAACTTTTGTATTTATGTATTTTATTTTGTGCCTGTTCACCGCCCTGAGTCCTTCGGGAGTAGGGCGGTATATAAATTTAATAAAACAAACAATAAAACAAACAAGATATTCTAACCCAAAGCCTTAGAAAAGAGCTACCTTGATGTTCTCTAGGGCCAGCACTGCATGGAAATGCCTTATGGAATCTTACCTGGGGAACCAGACTGACGTGAATATTACAGAAGTTCTCTCGCTTGACTTTGAATTGAAATTGGCGGAATGCTTCAATGAAAGGCATGCTTTCAATATCTCCCACCGTTCCTCCGAGCTAAAATACAGACATCTAAAATTAAATGCAATGCTCTTTTCTTCAAAGCACAAATTCTGTCGTCATCCCACATCCCCTTTTACCATATTTAGATTTAACCATATTTCAGCCAAATCCCTTCGTGTACTTTTCTTAACTACAGCAATAGCAACAGCACTTGGACTTATATACCACTTCATAATGCTTTACAGCAGTGGTCACCAACTGGTGGTCCACAAGAAAATGTTGGTGGTCCACAAAAAAATTATTTGCATTTTTTATATTGCACTAAATCAGGGGCCCTCAAATTACAGCCCCTCAGCCGGATACGTGCAATGAACAGTTGTGTTGCTGCAGAGAGTCTCCCCCTTTGTGGTCTTTTTGGGTGGGTCGGAGGAGGGCAGAAATTCCGACTTGGGGTCTGCTTCAGCCTCCTGGTGCGGGGCTTTGGGCGAAGGCTGGAGGGAAGTGCTGCTGGTGGCAAAGAGCCGGAGGACCTCGTTCCAGTGGGACTGCATCATGGTCTGGAACTGGCTGACCATCTCAGCCCGCTGAGCCTCCAGGCGCCGGTACCTGGCCTTGCACTCCCACAGGTCTTCCCTCTGCTTGGAAAGCCTATGCTCGTAGTCCTCAGTGAGGTGCTTCTGCTGAGCCTCCTTCTCTGTCAGACCCAATTTGAACTGAATTCTTTTGCCAAATCTTTCTCATGGTGGCTGCTTAGCTCCAACAACTGCTTCCTGTTGGGGCACTAAGGAGCCTGAGCAGGCAGGTGAGGAGGGGCTGGGAGGGGACGGGTGAGTAGAGGCCGGCAAGGCGCCCCTCAACGTGAGTGACATTGAGTTGACCATGCCCACCCAGTCACATGACCACCTAGCCACTCCCACCCAGCCGGTCATTAAGCAGATCATATTAGTGGTCCGCGGGATTTAAAATTATGAATTTAGTGGTCCCTGAGGTCCGAAAGGTTGGTGACCCCTGCTTTACAGCCCTCTCTAAGTGGTTTACAGAGTCAGCATATTGCCCCCAGCTATCCTGGCATTATCAATTTACCTTTGGATATTTTGAATATTTGCATATGAATTGTCTTGTGCTGATGAATGACCATAAAGTATGGTAATGGATTTCAGTACCTTTAGCAATACCCAGGTGGTAATCATCACCCAGTATCTTACAGGTTTAGTTTGTCTGAAATCCTGGCAAGAGACATAGAAGGCCGTGGACACCAACCTCTATCACACAGACTTGGGGCTCCATGCCATCATCATCCACGGGGATCCGTGCTTGTCTCATCACCCATTCCTGGATGGCATCAGTAATGTGGGGCACAACTGTAAAATAATAATTAAAAAGAAGATATTGTTTCAATAATTTCTGGCTACATACTTGGTTTCAATTAGAATCATCTCATGTTAACCCTGAACACTCATTTCTTGGTGAATTTCTGACGATTTGATTTGATTAATTCAATCTGGATGCTATCCAACTCTAACCAATTGGGCTATTTTATTTTATCCAATAAGGTTACCTGACCATTTCCTCTTGGCTAGTGTGAACTGCATTTTCATGAACATGTTCCCTAGTGAAAATCCTAAACGCTCCACTGTCTGGCTTATAGCAACATGCAAATACAACCAGAATAGTGTTAGGTGTTCCAGGGATTTCAGCAGAGTAAGGTCAAAAAAGTCAAGATGGCGACTTTAACGATGCAATTGACAACACATAAAAATTAAGAAGCTTTGATCACTATGAAGCTTGGTTTCAACTGTGGCCAGTATCTTAAATTTTTCTGACCACTCCCTAAAGACATCCTTGAATTGCTCTAACCATTATTCTCTTATTTATTTATAGTACCGGAAAGAAATGTTTTTTAAAGAATGTTTTCAATTGGACTCAAATTTCTCATCTCCAGGTTATTAAAAACAACCAGGAGGGACAGTAGCTGGAGTACATAAACTACTAGCCATGATCTTTGTGGTTGAAATTAAACAAAGTCTCCAGCCAAAGGGGGCAGTCAAAGGAGAATGAATCCATGTTGAATACCTTACCTTGCACAGTTTTACCTAAGTAGTCTCCCTTCCTTTCCTTGTTAATGACATATTGGTATATTTTCCCTGTGGTCAGATTATTGTCCTTTGTGAGCCGGATATCAAGAAACCGTTCATAGTTACCCAGATCCAAATCCACTTCTCCTCCATCATCCAACACAAAGACCTCACCTACAACAAAATGACAACCACAGGTAAGCTTTCTGTCACCTTCCTCCGCATATCCATGTTTGTGTCCTGAAAGCGTCCTCCAAAACACCTTTCCCAAGTCTAACATATTCCTGATTGGTTAGCAATGGCGATGGCAGCTGAACATCCTAGGACCTAGGATCTACTGTACAACCTTCTGAAGGAGCCATCAACATTTGCTGCCCACTGTAGACCAAACCCCAGCAAGGAATCTGCCGCCTGTCACTTTCGTTGCCTGAACCATCTACAGCAGTGTTACTCACGCTTGGCATTTTTAAGATAAGTGGACTTCAATGTGTTGTATCTATCATGTATACGGCTGCCCATTTTATAGACATGACTAGGAGAGGGGCTGATGTTAAAGAAAGTAAAAATAGAATAAAAACAAAAGCAAAAATTATAAATATCAATAATATAAAATAGCCCAATACACAGATTGGACTCTCTGTACCGTATTCTATTTTTTTTTAAAGTAGAGAAATAAGAGACAGGACTGCCATGTGTCAGAAATGGTAATAGGGCAGTGATGGTTAACCTTTTCGGCACCGAGTGCTGAAATTGGAGCGCACGTGCGCCGGAGCACCAGAACCCAGAAGAGAGCAACTGGCCAGTGCACATGCGTGCAGTGACCAGTTGCACTCCCGGGTTCTATCGTGCAGATGCGCACTGGAACCCGGAAAAGCAGCTGGCGATGGTGCAGGTGCCCACAGAGAGGGCTCTGCGTGCCATCTCTGGCACGGGTGCCATAGGTTCACCATCACGAGTATAGGGTCTCTTGCTTTAGCAGGAGGTTGGACTAGATGACCTACAAGGTCCCTCCCAACTTATTCTATTCTATTCTATTCTATTCTATTCTATTCTATTCTATTCTATTCTATTCTCTAGCCTAGCCTAGCCTAGCCTAGCCTAGCCTAGCCTAGCCTAGCCTAGCCTACTCTACTCTACTCTACTCTACTCTACGTACCTTCAGTACTAGAATCTGGAGATACTCAGCCCTTGCTGCTATATCAATAAGAGGTTTTCATCTTGTCTTACCGTGCTCATAAGGAGAGAAGGTGCCCGCATCAATGTTAATATAAGGGTCAATTTTAATGGAAGTGACGTGTAATCCACATGATTTGAGGATTGTCCCAACGCTACTGGCAATGATTCCTTTTCCAATCCCAGAGATGACACCGCCTGTGACCAAAATGTACTTCATTTGTTTCAATGTCTAAAAAAAGAAAACAAGTTGAATTTCATAAAATATTGCTACTGATTTATTGGTTTTGGCTTTCATCAGTCTTGCTGACCGATACGTATCTCCTAACATAAAACAAGATTATATTTATTGTATATCTTGCAGATTTAAAGCCACAGTTCAATTTTAAATTGTTATTGATTGTGCTGCTCATTTGTTTTCCATATAAGATTACACTATAATCTTGTTTTGCATTTGTCTTTATGTTTTTCAAGTTACTTTGTTTATATATGCAGTACTGTTTAATAAAATAAAGCACCATGCTCCCAGTTCATAAATAAGATACTAATGAAAATTAGAGTCACTTTCCACTTTTGCCTCTCCCCATAAACTAGCATTTTTAAGGAATTAACCACAAATGTACCTATACGCTTCATGGCTTCTACAATACATAACTTAGTACCAAGTTACTCACTTTGACAAAGGTCAGAACAACTAAAGACTTTACAACTAAAGATCAGAACAACTAAAGGCCAGAACAACTAAAGACTGTTCTATTTACAATCCTTCATTTTCTTTAAAACAGTGTGTTTCAACCCTGACCCACATCTTAAAGGCTACCAAGGTTGAAAAACAATGTTTTATTAAGTGGATCGTGAGACAGCAAAACGCATGTGTTCCCAGATCAATATGAGGCTAAAGAACAGAGTGGAAATGGGAGCAATTAGCTAATTCATTTTATATCTTTTTATTCCACAAAAGAACACAAGATGGGCCCATCATACATTAAAAGAAACGAAGAGCACAATGGATCAGGAGAAAGATTAAGAAGACAGCAGCAATAAATATTTTGCATCACATTAAAAATCTGAACTAAGAAAGCCCCAGTTATAGGTATATAAACCGCCTAGAGTCACTTATGTGTGATAGGTGATATAGAAATTGGATGGATGGATGTTTGGGTAGGCGGAAAGATAGATAAGATAGGGCCTTGTAGAGGTGTAACGTAATATTCTCAATGAAATCATGGAAAAAGCAATATAGGATGCACAATTCTTTCATGCAGGTCACGCAAGAGGCTTTACATAAGGAAAATTCATATAAGCACAAGCAGCAATGCAGCTGGGGAGGGACACACAATCATTGAAGGACTCTTGTCAAGCATAGCCAGGAAAAGAGAAAAGTAACAAGAGAATATTTTTAGATCAGAAGTGAGAGGGATAAAGATTTGGTAAAACAATATAATAATTCAATAAACAGGAATGCTGCCGTGAAAAATCAGAGGGGATGTAGAAGGTAAGACCTGCCAAAGAAGATGTTCCAGAATTTCCCAGTTGTTTGCCTCATCATATTTTAAAGGCTGGGATACACCTTCAGGCAGAGTTGATGACAAAGAATGTTACCACAGGTAATGTGGTGAACCAGAAGAACCTGCGTCTTGAAATCCCCACCACTTTACTCCTTAACTTAACAGGGGTTGCCAAAAAGTTACACAAGGCCAGTAACAGCTTCTTCTGGAGCAATAACCGTACATGCAGGTGTGCACTGAGAAGCATGGGGTGGGCAGCATGTGCTCAAACTTTGTCTCATGTGACCTAGAGGGAGAAGGAAGGCCTTAGAATGGAGCAGTGACAACAACCAGAGTCACTGCCTTACTGCGTCTCCCATTGGGATGCATTGGGAAAAACAGAGGGCATTTTTATTCCCCTCAAAATCCCAGCTGAATCTGGTCCATTTTTTAAAACTCAATCTTTCTTCTCCCAGGTTTCTTCCTCCACACCAAATATGGTCCCATTCTGTGCTATTTTGAGAGATTTATCCTCCATTTTTAATAACAATAATTATTTCAAGAACAAGATGAAAGCTTCTGGACTGGGCTTTGTTGGTTCTTGAACAACAACAAATCCCCTACAATAATTAGAAATGAGAGAGATATTTCACGTCACTGTTTGAACAGAATCCCAGTGAATTACCAACCAGGAACCACAAAGGAATTTGGAAACAAGAGTTGAATCTAAGAGAGGCTATCTCACTAAAAAAACAAGGTTGCAATTAGACACACACTTGGGGGTGGGAGAATGAATGAAAAGGCACAAGAGAAAGACTGAACATAATTAAATGCATTACATTTAATCAATGCTAATTTTCACATCGCTGATTTCATGGTGTTTTCCCTCATCCATGTTATCCTCCTCAGCCAGTATTTTTTAAAATGTGATCTGAGGACTTCTGGGGATCCCCAAGACAAACATATATATAAAGGTAAAGGTTCCCCTCAAACATATGTGCTACTCTAGGGGGCGGTGCTCATCTCCGTTTCAAAGCCGAAGAGCCAGCGCTGTCCAAAGACGTCTCCATGGTCATGTGGCCGGCATGACTAAACGCCAAAGGTGCACGGAACGCTGTTCCCTTCCCACCAAAGGTGGTCCCTATTTTTCTACTTGCATTTTTTACGTGCTTTCGAACTGCTAGGTTGGCAGAAGCTGGGACAAGTCACGGGAGCTCACCCCGTTACACGGCACTAGGGATACATATATACATATGTACATATGTATTTACATATATATATAAAAAGTGTTTTTCTATCGAAGCACCTGGTCTACCCCAATATGGGAGGGAGCATACTGCTTCCCTTTCACCTTTCAGCTTGCAATCCGGGAGCCCTCAAGCAGTCGCATTCACGACAAACCATTTTATACCAAGTTCATACTTTTTAGTCCAAGTTCGAATCCGAGTAAGGGTATGGCTAGCTGATGAGAGCTAAATAGCTTGAAATAGATCTATGCTAGTCTCCCTTTATTTCTTTATCAGCAAAATGTAAATTTGATATGTGTGTGTATGTATACACATATATACATATTTGTTTTCTGAGGTTTGCTCAGAAAACAAATTTGCTCCTAGAAGCACGAAGCCGAAAACACCAGCCTGAAGATGACGAATGAGACTTAGTCGAAGCGTCACCAAGACACTTCCAATTTTGCACGGGAGAAAACCCGAATAACCAAAGACCTACACATATACATATACGTACACACACACACACACACACACACACACACACATATATGTTTTCTGAGGTTCACACAATCAGTTCACACCCCCACTGGCAGTTAAAAGGAAGAAACAGCTGCGATCACACACATTGCTCCTAGAAGCACGAAGCCGAGAACACCAGCCTGAAGATGACGAATGAGACTTCGTGGAAACGTTGCCAAGAAACCTGAACTTAAAAGTAGAAAGGAAGGCATCTCGAGAGACAAGAGTTTAAGAAACACTGTCCTAAGCCAGCTAAGAGAAAAAAGGAAAGATGGCCAAAGAGTGACGGAAGAGATCAGACACGGATGATGCCCAGAACCGCACACGCATTTAGGGCAACCAGTGCAAAACCTCCTGGACCTTTTTTCCCCCAAGAGGCTGCTGACTTCTCCAGGGCTGCTGCTTTCCCACGACCAGTTGCACCCAGTTTACCCAACAAACCAACCCATTTCCAGGCACGGGGAGAGGGGGGCGGGTGTCATGCAGGAGGACCAGTCCACCAGACCGACCCTTCGCTGAAAGGGCGTCCCGGGGTGGCTCCCAAAAGAAACTCAGCTTGGATGTCTCGCCTCGTGGTTCTCACGAGATCCGGGCACCCCTTGCTCGTCTGCAGCCGCCACCCCTCAGGCGTCCACGTGGCAACGCGGGGGTCGGGGGAGACCCCGAAAAGGCAAGCGATGACAGCCGCTTTGTGTCCAGTCCCCCCACCCGCTGAGGATCCAGGGTCGGATTCATCCCCGCGCAGAAAGCCGCTCCAGCCGGGAATGATGGGCTTTGTAGTCCGAGGAGGTTGGGGGGGAGAGCCTTCCCCCCCCCCGGTACCCGTGTCAAGGGCCAACCGAGGTGCAGCTGTTATCCCAGGACGAAGCAGACCGGCTCAGACGTTTGACAGGCGCTGCCCGAGAGCCTCCCCCCCCACACACACTCCTCCTCCCGGGCCAGGCCCAGGAAAAGCCCCCCCCCCTCCCCTGCCCCCAATTCCAGATACTGACCCTCCACAGGGCCTGTCCACTGCGCAGGCGCGTGGACGCCGAGCCCTCCCAAGGCTTTATTCTTTCAAATAAATAAATAAAAAAAAAAAAGAGCCCGTCCGCGTCTGGAGAAGAATCTTTGCGAGGCCGGGTCGAAAACCAGACTACGAACGCATGGAGCCGGCGCGCGCGCGCGCTTAAAACATAAGCGGAAAGTGGGGCGGGGGGGGGGGGGAGGAAGGGGGGGCCAGGGGGGGGGAAGGAATGCGGGCGGGCGCGATGGAAACGCATTTTATATTAGTGTTTTTTTTGTTTTTGGTTGGGTATACGCCTGCGCTAACTTGGAGAGCGCGGTTGGTCCGCCTTCTTCTCAAAGTTCTTTTTCTATAGGCTGGGATTTCAGAAGGGGGCGGGGTGAGGGGGGGCGTGTCTCCGAGAGACCGAGATTGAGCGTAGCAGAATGAATGAGCGAAGGTGACAGGGAGGGGATAGTGCATTTGATGTCCAGTATAGCAGGGGTCTCCAACCTTGGCAATTTTAAAACTTGTGGACTTCAACTCCCAGAATTCCTCAGCCAGCAAAGGAATTCTGGGAGTTGAAGTCCACAAATCTTAAAAGTTGCCAAGGTTGGAGACCCCTGCTTTAGAGATTGGGAAGAAGCTGATCCTAAAAGTGGCTTGTTGCATGGGCCATGCTGGCTAGGAATTATGGGAGCTGTAGTCCCAACTCATTGGCAAGGTGTTGTGTTTGGGATACTCTGTTCAACCAAATCCGAGTTACGAATCCTAAAGTTGGTAAGGTTGGAGACCCCTGCAGCAGGGGTGAAATCCAACAGGTTCTGACAGGTTCTGGAGAACCGGTAGCGGAAATTTTGAGTAGTTTGGAGAACCGGCAAATACCACCTCTGGCTGGCCTCAGAGTGGGGTGGGAATGGAGATTTTGCAATATCCTTCTCCCAGGAGTGGGGAGGGACTGGGGATTTTGCAGTATCCTTCCCCTGGAGTGGGGTGGGAATGGAGATTTTGCAATATCCGTCCCCTGCCACACCCACCAAGCCACACCCATGAACTGGTAGTAAAAAAAATTTGGATTTCACCACTGCCCTGCAGTATAGCACTGCCTTTTTGCACTGGTGAGCTCTCACGGTGAATTTAAACCTCTCTATATCTATCATCTATATATCTATATTCAACAGTCTATGGAATGAAAGTTGGACTTTTATATAATAACTTTAGGCAATAATGACTACACTCAAACTATCCGACTTCAGACATATTATGCAAAGACTTAGCTCCCTGAGAAAGACTCTTAACGCTGGGAAAGCTGGAGGGAAAGACAAGAAGAGGATGAGAAGCAGTAAAATGGATGATCTCAGTTACAGTGGTGATAGATCCACCCTTGGAAGAACTGAAGGACTTTAGGATCAGACCACCATGTAGAAAATCCATCTAAACCAATGTTTCTCAACCTTGGCAACTTTAAAACGTGTGGACTTCAACTCCCAGAATCACCCACCCTACACAGTTGCCTGGGGAATTCTGGGAGTTGAAGTCCACAGGTTTGCAAGGTCGAGAAACACTGATCTAAGTTGTTCCTAGGAATCAAAAATGACTTTATAGTACATAATCAACTGAAAGCTCTGCAGCTTTCATAGATTTTCTAAGTGAGGGGGAAAGAAAAAATTAATGGATTAGATTTGATTGCTTGAAGAATTATGGATCGAAAGTTGTGACGTTATTAAAGAAGAAGAAAAATACCGACACATGTACTGGTAGAAAGAAAATGAAGACAAAAGCTCTATTGAGATTAGTATTAATAAAAATCCTAAAATCTTGATAAGTAGTGCCAACCTTACCTGATGTTTGAGCAAATTTAAAAATGGACAGGTTTCATGTTTCTAGGCTCAAAAATTCACAGGGATGGTAACTGTAGCCATGAAATACAGTGATGCCTGTTACTATGACAGATCTAGATAAAATATTGAAGACATCACAATGACAACAAAGAAGTGTATTGTTAAGATCATGGCTTTGCCAGTTGTAACAGATGACTGTGAATACTGGACAACAGAAAGGCTGAACACAGAAAAATAGATACCTTCCAATTATCCCAAAAGTGCTTTTTCAAAAGGCAACTGGACTTCCTTTGTTTTTCCTTGAAAACATTTTGTTTCTCATCCAAGAAGCTTCTTCAGTTCTGATGGAATGTTGGGTAATGGAAGGATTTATATTCCTTGTGTCATCATCCTTGCCTTTTGAAAAAGCACCTTTGGGACAACCATGACCTGAATTTGAATTGTGGCGCCAGAGACAATGGTTGACTGTATCTTTGATTCAAAAAAGAGAACTCATTCAAAAAGAGATGAAGTGAAATCAGACTGGTTTTGGATGCAGGAATAATAAAGCTAAACCTGGAATATTTGGCCATATAATAGGAAGGCAAAAGTTATTGGAGTAGATCAGTGGTGGGTTTCAAAATTTTTTTACTACCGGTTCTGTGGTATGGCTTGGTGGGCATGGCATGGCTTGGTGGGCATGGCTTGGTGGGCATGGCAGGGGAAGGATACTGTAAAATCTCCATTCCCACCCCACTCCGGGGGAAGGTTACTCCAAAATCCCCATTTCCTCCCGATCAGCTGGAACTTGAGAGGCAGAGAATAGATGGGGGTGGGGCCAGACAGAATTTTTACTACCGGTTCTCCGAACTACTCAAAATTTCCGCTACCGGTTCTCCAAAATTGGTCAGAACCTGCTGAAACCCACCTCTAGAGTAAATCTTAACGTGTGTGAAAATCAAAGGCAAACCAAAAAGAAACCCAAAGAGGACAAAATGACTAGATGCTATCAGGGATGACACCGATAGGAGTTTATAAGGTCTCAGAGAAGCCCTTTGGGATATAAAATTCTGCTGATCTGTTGTCAGAAGCAACTGAACAAGGCTATTTTAGAGTTTATTCCATTTTTCTCTTCAGATTAAAGTCTAAAACTAGTCTTCAAGTCACATTAGATGCAAGGATGGGTGGCTTGGTTTTTATACTTCACTAAACTATTGTGTGCCTAATCTTGATTTTTTTAAGGAATCAATTGACTGGATTCATACAACACACTAAGCATAAAGCCTGATTTATAAACCGCAGTGCCTACATTCGCATAACATGCTGAATTGAGCTAAAACCAAAATTCACATTATAATTTAGCATGATGTGTGAATCAGGTTTATGGCATTCTCCTGTAACATAAAGGCTTTATTTACTGGTGATTTTATGGGCATATCTATCCAGTGTATTTTTCTTGGCAGAAGTAATCTGCCATTGCTTTTCTGTGCAAATAATGGATATGCAACACAAGTGTGCAAATAGAGGATGTGACCACTAGATGTCAGAATGAATCCATGAAACATGGTTACATCTGGACTCAAAAGAGTTCAACCACCAAAGTAAGTGTCATCCCTAGACAGCTGTCATTTGGCTCAATGCCAGAAGATTGAAATACTTGCCCTATCAGGATTCAAGTTTTACTGTGACATTGAGGGTCTTTGGGAGAAAAACTGATTGTGAAACCTGTTTGTTCTTAAACACTGGCACATCACTCAAGGGACGCCAAACATTTCCCCTTTCCTTAGTTATTTGCCATTTCCAGAGACTGTGGTGATGGCCCATGACAAGATAAAGAGAGAACTGAATATTACTTTCAGTAACTAAGTGAAAGTATCCATGTTGTTGGTTTTTCATACCAGAAGTGGTTAGCCATCGATCTTCCAGGATTTCTGAAAACGTCTTTCAAAGTTAATCTGCATCTGGAGTGTCAAACTCGATTTCATTGAGGGCCACATCAGGATTGTGTTTGACCTTGGGGGGCCAGGGTGGGTATGGCCAGCTCAACGTGTCGGGGTCCCTGAGGTGGCCCGATTGCTCTGCCAGCGAAAACAGGCTCCCAAGCTCCATTTTCGGCTGCGATAGCCTCCTGCAACCCTCTGCCAGTGAAAACGGGGCCATTTTCACTGGCAGTGGCACCTCAGGCCGGTCCTTTGCTGTTTCCAGGACAACCTTGCAGGCCAGATCTAAGCACCCCGCAGGGCAGATCTGGGCCGCGGGCCTTGAGTTTAACACCCCTGATCTACAGCCTAGGATTTCCTAGTAATCTGCCCCCTGAATATAACTTAACGTTTTGTTTTAAAGGAGGGGCTTCATTCCAGAGGACAAAGTAGTCATGAAACTTCGATAGCTTGGTTGGGGGGAAAGGGTCCTCCCAAGAATTCTCAGAGCATACAATATTTAATATTGTAAACCACCTAGAGTTATCAAGTGGTAAGTTGAGTGGTCAATTAATTTAATAAATAATAATAATATCTAGAGCGAAGCAAATAAGTTGCTTTATTTTGGCAAGATTTCGGTTTACAGGTGAGGAACAAGAAAGGAAACTGTTCCACCTGCTTGGTTTCCTGAGGCCTGACAATTCCAGTTGACATGCCGTTTCTAAGCATTTCAATTGTCAGACGGAACTACCTTAAGCAGAATCTTATACCATTCTAGAAGGATTTCAGAGATCCAAACCCTTTCCGCTCTGAGGAATCTCCTAACCACTAGATTTTCTCTGTTAAGTTGCCTGTCAGGGAGAGCCTTCACATCGATGCCTGTTCACGAGGGAGGAAGCTGGTATCAAAAAGATGCTTCAACAACCAACTGCCATTTGGAGGCATTTTTGGAGAGCGTTGTCAAAAAAAAAAGTCAACATCGCGGTCATAGCCATGCAACCAAAACCACATTCTTTTTGCAATCTTGGGGTCCTCTTGGCTTTTTAAAAACCCATTTATTAACAACGCTGATATTAAA